GCATGGTGCACACTGGGTTGGCTCTGTGGGTTATATGGAATATGTGTAAGATGCTTAATATGCCAGAATTGAAAAAAAGGAGGACAAAGTCTTGATACATCAGGGTCCATTGTCTTGATTGTATGAGGGACTCCCACAGCAGCAAAAGCCAGCAAGCAGTGTTGTTGAACATGTCTTACCTTTTTGCTCCCTTGGCAGGTGGTATAAATCATGAGAGTGAGTGTTTATAAAGACATGGACATATTGTAACTGCCCGAGGGATTTAGAACAGGAATTCTTTGTTCAATGATTTATTTTTCTTTTCTTTTTTGTACTGGGAATCAAACTCATGACCTCATGCTTGCCAGGCAGGTACTATGTGGCAGAGCTATATCTCCTGCCCTGTAATGATTTCTTTTATTGCATCGAGGACAAAGACCAGGAGTTGGATTGGTATTCCTTCCCATGGAGGGTAGAATGGTAGTCCCCAACTTGGCTGGAGCAATACATTGTTTATGAATATATCTCATTTTCCCCCAACACTGAACATTGGCATTCTTAAGATATGGCTTTGTTTCTTGTTTCCTCCCAATTCCAAAGTTCTTGGCATAGTCATTTTCTGAACATTTGAGTATTCTGGGTTTTTTTGTTGTTTTTTGCGGTACCAGGGATCTTGGGACATTGCGCTTGCCAGACAGGCACTTAGGCCACTGAGCTATCTCCCGGCCTGCCTTTGAGTACTTTGAAATGTAAATTGAGGTGGCTTTGGAAAGAAGACAATGAATAATAACTGACTTATGAGGAAGTAGGATCCTAAGTTGGAGGTTAAGTGATTAAGTAGTTTGTTAAGTATAGAGCAGTACCATAACACTTGGTTTCAATATTATATATATATATGTATATATATGTATATATATGTATATATATGTATATATATATATAAATATAATTTTTTATTTTTATTTTTTATTTTTTATTTTTGTGGAACCGGGGGTTGAACTCAGGCCCTTGCACTTGCCAGGGAAGTGCTTGTTCTACTGAGCCATCTCCCTGGCTCAATGTCTTTTTAATGTTATCGATGTTCCGCAGATCCTTGGACAAAGGATCTGCGGAACATCGATAACATTTTTACAAGCTCATTGCTTTTAAAATTTGTCTATATCATTTATCTATCTAGTTACTCCTACCTTTTCTCTACATTTTCTTCTTTTGGAGGAAAAAGGTCAGGGTGGGCTCTAGGCAGCACAGTTGTTCCAGGTATTTCTTGGTTGTAAATGTCTGTTATTTCCTCATCTCTTTTCCCTTTTCACGATAGATGGCATCATGGTTAAAACCCTAGACCTTCGGTCAGAGTTCTGAGTGCCCCAGCCTACCCAGGTGATCTTGGACTTGTAGCTTTCTTTCTCATCTAAAATGGGAATGATGGTAATTTCCTTGTTTAGATGAGAGGACAAATGATAGTGATAATGTGTATAAGGTGCCTGGTACATGTTAAGTTATATAATAAATTTACTTCAGATTTATTATGTTGAAAATTATATCAGTTTCTGTAATTATCAATTAAAAACATTGAATAGTTGGTGGAGCAGTAAGTATTTTAAGCTCTTTTTAAAAAGAAAAAGAGCTGGGTGTAGTGGTTTGTACTTCTAATCCCAGTATTTGTGAGGCTGAGGCAGGATTGCAGCAAATTCAAGGCCAGTCTGGCTACATGAGTTCAAAGCTAGCTCAAATTACATAGCCAGATCCTGTATCAAAAACCAAAATCCAAAACAAAATAAAACAACAAAGAGAAACCACCAATTTTCTTACCCAACACACTTGTTCATTTTTATATACTGCTTTCATAGTATCGGATGTGGGATACATGGGGTAGGGGACATTTGTTAAGGTGCGTGTTCTCTGCACCTTGTTAGATTCGCCCTCACAGAGTACCCTTGATGAAGCTGAGGTTCAGGTTGAGCTGGCTTAGGCTGGCCATCAGGGTTTGTGCTGTTTTGGACTGGTTGAAAAGAGATTGGGTATATTGCAGGTCCTTTGGGAAGAGGTTGAAGGTAAGGTAAGTCCATGGTCTAAATTGGGTAGAAGAGGTCTGCATAATTCTGAGCAGCAAGGGTGCCTGGATCCCGAGCAGAGATGTGGGGAGGTCTTCAGGATGGCGCTTGGACATCTCAAATGGAGCATTTGTCCCCTAATGGAACTGTGAGGAGAGGGATGATTGTCACAGACACTGGGAGGTGGAAGGGTGTGAAGGTAGATGCAGTCTACATGGGCTGGCAGACGAAGAAGGACCTTGGAGCCTATGTGGCTGTGCTGGTGGGATCTGGCTCGAGAGCAGAGGAGCCCATCCTCTCCCAAGAAACTTGCTTATTCAGGGAGGAGAGGCCTTTGTGATGGTTATTTATTGCGTGCTTTTGTGAGGTGTTTCTCTGGACAGGAACCTAGCACCTTATCTCCTGTCTGTTTTAAGCAACAGAGTTACCATAGTTACAGGTAATCCTAGAGAACTTCTGGATGAGATTAAGGTAGAATCCCACAGGATTACCAGGTAGGCACTGTGCAGTTAGCCAGAGGAGATGAAAGGCATCTGGTTTTAGATGGATGTGGGCTGTGATTCTGGCCCCACTCACTCTCAGCCTGTGTGTGTCTTTAGGTCAGCTATGTAGCCCTTGTGAGCTGCCAAAAGGAAACAGGCAGTGTCGAGGACTGCCCTAAACACTTCTTAGGTGTCAGCTTGCTAAAGCTTTCATCCTAATGAGGCAGGAGCCATTAGTATCCCCATTTTATAGATGGGGAAACCCCCTAGAGGAACTCGGGGGAAATAATTTGCCCCAAGGGTAGGTTGCCCAAGCTCTTCCTTCTGCAGAGTGCTCAGCAGTGTGGGGCCCCTTTCCGTCTAGCTTTCCCACAGTTTCAGAATCCCAAAGCAGGAGTGGACCAATAAGTGTTCATTTTAACTTGCCATTTTATATGTGAAGAGACAAGAGCCCCTGAGAAGATTTCCCACAATCCGAATGTGTTGGTCAAGTTGGAACTAGAATTAGGTCTCTTTGACTTCAAGCCTGGTTCTTTTCCCTCCTCATCCTCAGATTTCTGCCAGCATTCCCTGGGAAGAAATGAATGCATAAAGGACAGGATCAGGAGGGGGTGGCTGCCCTGGGAGAATGAACAGGGGAGACACATGTTCAGTAAGGGCTGTCAGGGGGGCGTGGGACAGAGCCAGTGGCAGCCTGTGACAGACTGGCTTCCTTTGACTCTCCATGTGCCCAGGAATACCTGAAGGGCCTGTGCAGTCCAGAGCTGTGGAAAGAGGTCCGCTACCCGCCAATGCTGCATTGTGCCTTCCTCGGCGCCCAGGGCCTCTTTTTGGATTGCCTCTGCTGGAGCACCTTGGCCTATCTGGTGCCTGGTCCTCCTGGCTCTCTGATGGTAGGCGGGCTCACCGAGTCTTTCACCATGACCCAGAACTGGCTGGAGGAGTTGGTAGCACGGCTGCACTGGGGCCCTGCACCTTTGCTGACCCCCCGGGGTATCTGGGAGGCTGAGGTGACCCGGGCCTTTGGGGCCTTGGTATGGATCCGTGGTGACCAGTATGCAGGGGACCTGCTGCAGCTGCCCCCAGCTGTTCAGGAGTTGCTGTTGAGCTTGGTGCGGGATGCTGCGGGCAAGGAGGACATCATTGAGTGGCTCAGCCACTTCGGCATCTCCAGCACCTGTGCCGGTCCAGAGGTCCTGATCAGCCCTCCCCAGCAGCAAAAGGAAGACTCAGCTGTGGTGTCCACAGGAGACAGTCCTGGGCCCTTCCTTGAGATGGGGACCTTCCAGATTGAGGGCCCAGAAAATCCGAAGAGAGTAAACAGCCTGGGAGCCACCAAGTCCTTGATCCCATTCCAGAACACCCTGCAGGGGACAACAAAACAGCTGGTACGGTAAGTTCTGGGCAATGAGTCTGGCTTCTCTGACCCTTACTCCTTCCCTATACCCCAAGGAAATGATGATAATTTGGGAAAAACTGGCCTTCCTACCTTTTCAATAAACTTGGGCTTCCTCTAGGGTCAGTTCCAACAACCAAAGTGGTACGGACAGCGCGCAAGAGGAAGGGCTGGTACAAACCAGCAGCAGCCAGGACTCTCCAAACCACACACCAGCCTTGTTGCAGCAAAAGCAGGTCCAGAAGGTAGAGAAATTCCTCTTCAAGCCTCCGGTGTCAGCTCTGGGTGTGTGTCCATCCTGGAAGGCCTGGGCCCCAGGACCAGCCTTTGGGCCCTTGTGGCCGGGGACTATTGCTGCAGCCTTCTGGAGGATCAATGAACTACATTCTCTGCACCTGGCCTGGCTTCTGTCTCAGGCATGCTTCAGTCTCCCATTCTGGCAGAGACCACTGGGCCCCGTTCAGCTGAAGCTGCCAGGGCAGAGTGCTTTGCCCTTAAATCTAGAGTGGAAGCAGAAGGAGCTGACTCCTTTGCCTAGTACAGAAGGCCCCGCTTGTAGACCAGATGGGCAGCTGGGAGGAGAGGCAACTCTCCAGACCTGCCCAAGGCCAGAGACACCCCCAAGTAAAGTCATGAGTTTATTTGTGGTCCCAGGAGGCTCTGGTGAGAAGGACAAGGTTAGCTCAGGACGTCTACATACAGCTTCTACCGCCCAAGCTGGAGATAAACGAGGGAACCAAGGAGGTGTGCAGAAGGACTGTAAGTGGCTGGTAAAGGGGCCCTCTCCAGTGCCACCCACAGGACAGGGGGCACCCACAGCTCAAGGTAGGCCCATGGCTGAAGGGGGGCTCACAACCCAGTCAGCACCTGGAGTTCAAACGGTGCCTGAAACTCTCAAAGTGCCCATGGCTGCAGCAGTGCCCAAAGCTGAAAACCCAGCCATAGCTGAAAGGCAGCCTGCAGCTCCCAAAGTGCCTTTGGCTCCAACAAAGCCTACTGTTCCCGTGGAGTCCACAGCTCCAAAAGCTGCTGCCAGTCAACCAGCATCAGTTTCACAAGCTCAAGTGACAACTACAGTGCCAAAAACTGCCATGTCTCAGAAGATGCCTGCAGCCAAAACATCACCTGCAGATCCCCAAACACTCAAAGCTCACAGTGGGCCTGTGACTACATTGGGGTCTGCAGCTCCTAAAATATCTGCAGCCCCCAAAGCACCTGCAGCTCCTAAAACATTTGCAATGCCCAAAGCAGTTGGAGCTTCTAAAGCCTCAAGAGTTCTCAGAACATCTGCAGTCCAGAAGGTGCCTACAGGTGAAGGGCCAACCTTGGATGTAGCCAGACTTCTAAGTGAGGCCCAGCCTTTGTCAAGAGGTGATGCCTCCTCACCAAAGGGCCAGGGGGAGCCTGGAAGGCAGTGTGCCCAGCCCAGCAGCAGTAAGCACCAGCTTCAGGCAGAGGGACTTCTGAAGGATTGGGAGGGGGGCCCAAGGCAGTCACCTCGCCACCCACAGGCAAACAGCATAGTGACCAGCTTTCAGAGATACCATGAGGCCCTGAACACACCCTTTGAGCTGAACTTGTCAGGAGAACCCGGGAACCAGGAATTGCGTAGAGTGGTCATCGATGGCAGCAGCGTGGCTATGGTGTGAGTAGCCGTGGGCATGTCTGGGCTGGGGACGCTGGGAGCTGGGGCAGGAAAATCATGAGCAATGGAGTATGGGCATCCCATCCTGACCCATATAAAAGGCATAGGGTTCAAATGGGGAAAGGATAGAAGGGAAGTGACACATTGAACAGCCACTACATGCTAAGCATTGTGTACCAAATTGTCCCAGCAGCCCTGGACAGGAGGGTGTCTTCTCCTTTTTGCAGACAAACAAGGAGGTGAGGAGTCTTGCCTAAGGTCTCTGAGTTAGCCAGGAGCTGGGCCAGCCTCTAGGCCCAGGTGTGCCCAATGCCAGGGCCAGGGCTTCTCACAGGCCAGCTTCTTAGCATACAGCCTAAGCATCAAGGCCCAGTACAGACCTCTTCTGAAGCCACTCCGACCCTTAGACACTGCCCTCCCTGCAAAGTGCTTACTGCTGTACAGGTCTTGGTGTGCACACAAGCGAGGCTGCTTAATTTCCCATGTAGCACTATAGTTATTCATGCTGCACAGTCTTTGCACATAGTAGCCAGGCAGAGAATTTTTGTGTACTTCAGCTCTAAAATAGAGGTCTTTGAGTGTGAAGCTGCTCTGTTCCTCTCACCCTCTGCATTATATACATGTGCACACACATGCACACAGGCAGTATCTGGAATTGCTGTGTACCCAGGAGCTGCTCACAGAATGTTTGAGGATGGAGGGCAGGGAGAGGGCGTTGGGGTGTCTTTGGTACTCAAGCTGCTCCCCGACTTCCCATCACCCCTCAGGCATGGCCTCCAGCATTTCTTCTCCTGCCGAGGCATTGCCATGGCAGTGCAGTATTTCTGGAACCGGGGACACCGAGAGGTTACTGTGTTTGTGCCCACCTGGCAGCTGAAGAAGAACCGAAGGGTGAGAGGTGAGGTGTGCGCTGTCCAGTCTGCCCCCTGGCATCACCACGGCTTCCTTTGCCTTTCCGCTTCACTTTCCAGCACTCCCCATGGCTTTTCCCATGTAGTCCTTCCTCTGACTGCTTTTGTCTTCTGTCTTCCACTCTCAGAGAGCCACTTTCTGACGAAGCTCCACTCGCTCAAGATGCTTTCGATCACACCCTCGCAGCTGGAGAATGGCAAGAAGATCGCTACCTATGATTATAGGTGCGCCGCTCCCCAGGCCTCTCTGTGGGGCTCAGGTTGGGTTTGGATGAGGTATCAGGTGTGATCCTTCCACATCTTCTCTGTGGAAATGGTGGCAGATGTATTGGGGGATCGTTCTGAGAGGATGGGGTGAGGCACACTTGAGGACAGGGCTTGAGGTTGGCTCTACTCAAACCCAGGAGTTGCTCCTGACTTTGGGATTCCAGTGCTCCATTTCCCAGAGTTAACTGGCTTCCTTCATCAAGGACTGTGGTCCAAGGCCCACCGCTTTTGGTCAGACAAGCCAGGTAACGAACTTATGCCTCCACTGAACATCACAGGTACTTCAGGCTTTTGGCTACCACTTTAGGTTGAAGTTCAAGGGGCTGCATCACCCTTTTTCTTCTCCAAGGCCTGGCATTGGAGGAGCTATGTGTGTAGAAAATGCCTTGGGCAAGGCTCTGGAAATGAAGTTAGACTGGCTGCATCTGCGTGACTGCAGAGTGCCTCTGTGCCTCCTGCCTTTGGGTGCCAGCTCTTTAGTGAGACTGCAGGACCTGGGTAACCTGTGTCCCTACCTCTGATGGGGTGAATGGGGCCTCCCAAAGTGGTTCTGGATTGGAGCTGATGTGAGCAGACAGAAAGGTCTTGGCTTCACTAGGTACCTCCCATGCTGGGCAGGGAAATGTTCCATTTCTCCCCTGCTTTTCCCAAGATGTGACATCCATCCAGTCTTGGCCCAGGAAAGGCTGACAGGACTTCTCAGGTCCTTCTTTCCCCAGTGGGCCAGGGGGCCAGGGTAAGATCTTTTTAAGTCTCTCAATTCAGGCCTGGGTTTGAGGGAAGATTTTTTTTTTTTTTTTTTTTTTTCTATGTAAAGTCCCTCTGCTGGGCGCTTGTGGGATACCATCTTGGGGTAGCCAGGATGACTATCTTCAGAAATGCTAAGAAGTAGATAGCCTTTGCTATCTGTCTTGGTCACAGTGCTCCTTAGAGGAGAGGATCACCTATTTATTTTTATTTTTATTTTTTTGTGGAACCGGGGATGAACTCAGGCCCTTGTGCTTGCCAGGCAAGTGCTTATTCCACTGAGCCATTCCCCAGCCCCAAGGATCACTAAAAACAGATTTTTAAAATTCAGGTTTGTGTTTTTGTGTTTATATATGTATCATTTCGTGGCATGCATATGAATGTTGTCCATTGGTGAAGAATATGGGAATATTTGTGCATATGCTGTGCAGCAGGGAGTGAGCTAGATGTGCAAATGCATGGTCTCATTCAACTTAATTTTTACAGCAATATCAGGCAGGGATTTCATGCCTATTTTATGAATCAGAAACATAGGCAGGAAATATACATATATGAAGGGGGTAGGTGTCTGTGTGTGTTTGTATATGTAATAGGGGTGTGTGTTGGTATGTACAGCTGAGGTGTGTGCACCCTCCTAGGGGCCTGCTGGGGACCCTCGATGGCTGCAGGGGAGGAGGTGTGCTGTGGAGCCCCGACTCCCTGACTGCAGGGCACTGCTTTTGTCTGGCACACCTCTCTGTGAAGCTGCAAGTTCACTTTCTCAGGGGACCCAGAAAGCGATGGGGCTGGTTCTTGGGTCATCAGTGGCTCCTTTTTCACCTTCAGGTTCATGGTAAAGCTGGCAGAGGAGACAGATGGCATCATTGTTACCAATGAGCAGATTCACACCCTGATGAATAACTCTTCTAAGAAACTCATGGTGAAAGATCGGTGAGTCAGCTGCCTGGGGTGGGAGCCACTCTTGTCCTTTTGATGTCATCTGGCAGAGCAGATGATGTGCTCTGGAGAGGGTGCTGGATAAGGCTTACTAGCACCTTCCGGGAGGTGGGGGATCCGCCAGGCAGTAGCAGGGCATGGGAAAGTCGGGGTTCATCTAAGACCAGGCCCCTTTCTTTTCTGGGCCCAGCCTGCTGCCCTTCACATTTGCGGGGAATCTCTTCATGGTACCAGATGACCCCCTGGGCCGTGATGGCCCCACCTTGGATGAGTTTCTGAAGAAGCCAAACAGGTAATGTATGAGACTCTCCTGAGAGTAACCAGAAGCTTTCCTTGACTGCTAGCCAACTTTGTTTGCAGCTCGGACTCAATGATTACAGGCATGCACCACCATGCCTGGTCTCCATGGCCAGCTCCGTGTACCTGGGGGTGGGCCCGGTGCAGCGTGTGGTGCCAGGGATCAAACCCCAGTCCCTGTGTTTGCCTAAGCAGGTGCTTAGTCCATTGAGCTCTCTTTGGCTGGCCCTAGGTTTTTAACATTTGATGCATGCTTCATGCTTTGCATAAGTATCTTTCCATAACTGACATTTTTGACCTTTTTTTGGCATGGGGGAATGGAGTTCAGAACCCTGAGCTTGCCAGGCAGGTGCTGTGCTGCTGAGCTAAATCCCTGGCTCTCATAACTAGCTTTTGTGTTCAGTGTTTTACTTTTCTTTTTTTTTCTTAGATGCATGCCACATTAATTCATATAGTACATTTTAGTGTCTGTGCAGTCTTCTGTTATGTGAATGCCTGTGCAACAAACTTAACTGTTTTCTAGTTGAGGGCTTTTTGACCTTTTGTTTCAGGTTTTGTTTTTTTGAGACAAGGCATTCAGGCTGACCTTGCACTCCTGCCTCAGCCTCCCATATGCTGAGGTTACAGGCATGTGCGTCATACCTGGCTATTTCTATTTTATGACTTTGGTGCTATTACAGCACTGAACTTCAGGTAGATGTAAATGCCCACTGGCGTTTATGGATGAGGGACCTGAAACTCAAGTGACTTTTGAGGTCACTTTGCTGGTATTAGCAAAATGGGTGTGTAGCCACTCTGATTCCCTCCAACCATGTTGATGCCCGCCCTTCAGTACCTTGTGCCCAGCAGCGGGCCTTGGTTGGTATGCTCTGAACTGGGTGCTGCTCCCCAGGCTTGACCCTTGGTCTCATTTCTCCTCTCACGTTGCCTGTATCCTGGGGTTAGGCTGTACACTGCCAGTCATCCTTTATCAAACCACTGATTTAAAGCTGGGCTAAATGCAGCCTGCTCAGTGCAGTTTTGCTTTTGTGTTGAAGTTCTGGTAGATGCAGAGCTGAAGCAAGAATTCACAGGTTAGGGCCTGACTGGCCCAGAAAGGGAACTGGCATTCAGCCCAGTCTCAGAAACAGGATGGGGCAGGGCTTTGGAATGGGGCAGGGCTCTGTGGGGTATTCATAGGTGTATCTTTTCCCTTGGATGACCTTGGCGGGGTGTTGTCCCCTCTGCCCCTTCCACTTGTTTTATAGGTTGGACACAGACGTTGGAAACTTCCTGAAGGTGTGGAAGACCCTTCCACCCAGCTCAGCCAGTGTCTCTGAGCTGAGTAATGGCCCTGACCCTAGGCCCTTGGAGGGCCCACAGTATGTGGAAGAAGCCAGGGAGAAGAAGGAGGAAAGGCAAAATGAAGAGTGGAGAGAGGGGCAGGGAACACTGGAGTGGGCTGAGGAAGATGACTTGGACTCTTCTCTGGCATCAGTGTTCAGAGTTGAGTGCCCCTCCCTTTCTGAGGAAATTCTCCAGTGTCTCAGCCTCCATGACCCTCCTGACGGGGCTCTGGACATTGACCTCCTGCCAGGGGTGGCCTCTCCCCACCTGGGCATCCCCTGGGATGGGAAGGCTCCCTGCCAGCAGGTCCTTGCGCAGCTGGCCCAGCTCACCACCCCCAGCAACTTCACTGTGCTATCCTTTTTTGTGGGGTTCATGGACTCCCACCAGGATGTCATCCCTGACTATGAAGCCCTCATGGGCCCTTTACACAGCCTCCTCAAGCAGAAGCCAGACTGGCAGTGGGACCAGGAGCATGAGAAGGCCTTCCTGTCCCTTAAGCGAGCCCTGGTGTCTGCCCTCTGTCTGGCGGCCCCCAATTCCCAGCTGCCCTTCCGCCTGCAGGTGACAGTGAGCCAGGTGGCCCTGACAGCCATCCTCTCCCAGGAGCACTCAGGGAGGAGGCATCCCATTGCCTATACTTCGAAGCCCCTGCTTCCTGATGAAGACAGTGAGGGCCCCCAATCAGGCGGGGACAGCCCCTACGCTGTGGCCTGGGCCCTCAAGCATTTTTCCCGTTGCATTGGAGACACCCCCGTAGTCCTGGACCTTTCCTATGCTTCCCGGCCCACTGTGACTTCTGAGGCTCCAGAGGGCCGCCGGCTTCCCAAAGCATGGTTGATCCGATGGTCCCTTTTGGTACAAGACAGAGGCAAGAGAACCCTGGAATTGGCCCTTCTCCAGGGCCTACTAAGGGAAAACCAGCTGCTGACGCCTGCTTCTGCGATGCCTCGTTTCTTCCAGGTTCTGCCTCCTTTTTCTGACCTGTCCACTTTTGTCTGCATCCACATGTCGGGCTACTGCTTTTATCGTGAGGATGAGTGGTGTGCTGGTTTTGGCCTCTATGTGCTGTCTCCCACCAGCCCTCCTGTCTCCCTGTCCTTTTCCTGCTCCCCTCACACCCCGACCTATGCTCACCTGGCAGCTGTGGCCTGTGGCCTGGAGCGATTTGGCCAGTCTCACCTCCCTGTGGTTTTTCTCACCCACTGCAACTGGATCTATAGCCTCCTCTGGGAGCTCTTGCCCCTGTGGAGAGCCCGGGGCTTCCTCTCCTCAGATGGTGCTCCACTACCTCACCCAAGCCTGCTCTCCTACATCATATCCCTCACCTCTGGTCTTTCATCCCTTCCATTCATCTATAGAACCTCCTACCGGGGCTCTCTGTTTGCTGTAACAGTGGATAACCTGGCCAAGCAGGGTGCCCAAGGGGGTGGGCAGTGGTGGAATTTGCCAAAAGATGTGCCAGTCCCTGTTGTGATTCCCCAAGCTGTGGGCAAGAGGCCTAACTTGCTGGCATTACAGCTGAGTGACAGCACGCTAGCTGATATCATTGCCAAGCTTCGTGCAGGGCAGAAGTTGTCTGGCTCCTCCCCCTTCAGTTCTGCCTTCAACTCGCTCAGCCTTGATAGAGAGAGTGGGGTGCTTATGTTCAAGGGTGATAAAAAGCCCAAGGTCTGGGTAGTCCCAAGGCAACTCCGGAGGGATCTCATTTTCTCTGTGCATGACATCCCCATGGGGGCCCACCAGCGACCAGAGGAGACCTACAAGAAATTGCGGTTCCTGGGATGGTGGCCTGGGATGCAGGAGCATGTGAAAGATTACTGCAGGAGCTGCCTGTTTTGCATCCCCCGGAATGTCATAGGCAATGAGTTAAAGGTCATTGAGTCCCCGTGGCCACTCAGATCAACTGCCCCCTGGTCGAACCTGCAGATCGAGGTGGTGGGCCCGGTCACCATAAGCGAGGAGGGCCATAGACACGTGCTCATTGTGGCTGACCCCAACACCCGGTGGGTGGAGGCATTCCCGCTGAAGCCCTACACACACATGGCTGTGGCCCAGGTGCTGCTTCAGCATGTGTTTGCCCGGTGGGGTGTGCCAGTGAGGCTGGAGGCAGCCCAGGGCCCCCAGTTTGCCCGGCATGTCCTGGTAAGCTGTGGGTTGGCCCTGGGAGCACAGGTGACCTGCCTGAGTAGGGACTTGCAGTTCCCTGGCCTGGTCAGCTCAGAGGTCTACTGGGAATTCAAGCGGGCCCTAAAGGAGTTTATCTTCCTGCATGGCAAGAAGTGGGTGGCCTCCCTGCCCCTGTTGCACCTGGCCTTCAGGGCTGCCTCCACAGTGGCCACGCCATTCCAGGTCCTCACAGGAGGTGAGAGGAGGCTCAACGAACCCCTGTGGTGGGAAATGAGCAGTGCTAATATTGAAGGGCTCCAGATGGATGGCTTTCTGCTGCAGCTAACTCAGGAGCTGTTGGAGCTACACTGGAGGGCAGCTGAGAAGGGCACTGAGAAGGCCGACAACAGGCGCTTCAAGCGGGAGAGCCAGGAGAAGGAATGGAATGTGGGTGACCAGGTCCTCTTGCTATCCCTCCCCAGGAATGGCAGCAGTGCCAAATGGGTGGGTCCCTTCTATATTGGGGACCGGCTGAGTTTGTCTCTCTATAGGGTGTGGGGTTTCCCAACCCCAGAGAAGCTGGGGTGCATCTATCCCAGCAGTTTGATGAAGGCTTTTGCCAAGAGTGGCACACCCCTGTCTTTTAAAGCCTTGGAGCAGTGAGCTGAAGTGGTGGAGCCCCCTGCCCAGCGAGCGAGCGCTGGGTTTCTGCTGCTAGGCCTCCACCTGCCTCCTGCAGTGCTCTCAGCCCTTTGGGGCCCTCTGTTGTGCCTTGTGTAGAGAAGTCGCTTTCTAAAGCTTTGCTGAGTTGCCTTGAACTAGGGACCAGTGTCCTCATGGAAACAACTCCACTTTTGGGGTATTTGGAGAATTTGCCAAAGGCTGTCAAATGTGTGCCTGTGGTGATTTTACACTGGGGAGTAGAAGGTCTCCTTATTAAAGCAGGCCAGGTTCAGAGTCTTTCCCCAAGTACCTTCTTCCCCCTTCACACATGTAGATGTATGGCGCACACGCACATGTGCACACACGCCTATCTTGTTCCTGGCTGTCTGAACCATGAAAGTGTGATGCTCCAGACTCACAGTTGGAACCACAGCCCTCTCCCAAAGAGGAACCTTGAATGCAGCACTGCCCTTCAACCTGTGTTTCTGGGGAGCCTCTGCCCTTGGGGTTGTCACTGATTTGAATCTACATTTGAATCAATGGAGAGGCAGCCGGTGCCTTAGCTTCACAGCCAGCTTTCTTAGGCTGGGCTTGAACTTGCCTGCTATCTGGGAAGGGCTGGCATTCTGGGCCTTGAGGGCAGTAGCTCAGGATGGGAAGGATGGCCAGCCTCAAGTCACCCACTTGTCAGCATGGGAAAGACAGGGTGGGATAAGTTGGTCTACCTCATTTGACTCCAGCTGATGGAGACAACTCCTGATCCCTATTGTGATGGTGTTGGCTGCACAGGGGTCAAAGATCTTGATGCCAAGTGTGGCATCTCTACTCAGAGAGCTGCTTCTACTAGACCAAGGGGCCTTGGCCTCTGTTTTAAGGCTTCAGAATTGAGTTGTCTTTTTCCTCTCAATCCTGCCCAACCCCATCCCAAAGCCCATGTCCCTCCTCTTTTTGCCTCCACTGTTGCCTGTATCCTTAGACACTAGGTAGTATGATTGCTTTGTCTGGAGCCCCCTCCTACCCTCCATTCCTCTGAACCCCTAGCTCCAGACATGTACTCTACAGAGATTGCTCTTAGTGAGTGAGCTCTCATGGGTGTGTGTGTGTGTGCTTGCACTCAGTCCTCTGAATTGGGGCTGCTGCTGAACAGCCAGTCTAGGTCAAGGCCAGCACTGTGTCTCCCTGGCTCAGCCGGAGTAGTTTCTCCAGACGCTGAGCCAGGAGAGAGCTTAGCGTCAAACCCAACTTGCTTGTTATACAGCAAAGGAAAGAGGACCGAAGAAGGGGACTTGATCATAGTCACACAGCTAGTTGGTGGCTGAATTGGGGCCAGGATTAAGTTTACTAACTCACAGTTCACTGTGAAAAGTGTTCTGATAACAGATTCAAGCAAGAGAATCCTTTCAAATTCTGTACTCATCTGTTGTGTCATTTTCCAACTCTGGTGGATAAACTACCTGGATGTTGCCCTTAAATCCATTCCAGTTGTTAATCCTATGTGGGAATGAATGACTGAGTGACAGTGGGGAATCTGGAAAGATTGGCAGTAGTGTTTTTAGCACATACTCTATATTCTCACTCACCCTTGCCCCTTCTCCTCTTCCTCCAGTTCCCTAGTGGCATTTCCAACCTCACTCGCCCCCCACCCCCGCCCTCTGTGCGGTGTGCTTTCTCCCTGTCAACTACAACTTTGATCTGTACCTGTTTCTTAAGTGAATTTTTTCATTTTGTCAATAAATGAATTAAACTGGAACCAACCAATGTTTGGTACTTTTTAAAGCTTCAGGCTCAAGACAGATGGGGCTGGGAGATAGCTCAGTCGTATAAGCGTCAAGGTCAGGAGTTTGATCCTGGTTCTGAAAAAAAAAATCACTGCATATTCAATTAAGGTGGGGTTGGGTTATTTTTGGGGTATGGCTGCTCTTAAGGCCTGGATAGCATCTCTGTAACATCACATCGCTCAAGCGTAGATCACTTAGTTCCTGCACAGTTGAGACCAGGTGCAGGGAGTGATAGCCTTCAGGACCTCACAGCTGGTTCTCGGCAGTGCTGGAGGAGAGCCAGACTCCCAGGTTGGTGCTCTTGGAGTTCAAGTCCTGGAATGAAGAGGAATGGTACCTGGTTGGAGAGCAGAGTGACAACTACTGAACCAGCTCATTTGCATTGGACACTTGATCGACCTAGATTTGGATATGACTGCTCGGAAACAGTACATGTATGCCCTGTTTCAAGGTCTGTTTCCCCATCTGTAAACTGTAGAGCCACAAATCCTAAATTATGGGATGATGTGTGGATTACAGGAAATCTGTGTAAACAAGCTAGCCTATAGTTTGGGCAAAGAGTAAGCTTGCATACCCTTCCTGCTCAGGAACTCTTGCTGTTCTCATTTAGACCCCTGACCAAGTTTCCTGATGCTTGGAGCTTTTCTCATCCACCCAGCTTTCCTCTCTGCAGGGGCACAGGAATGGAGGGGCAAGAGGGAGCTGCCCTTCCCGAGAGCTTACCAGCTGCACACTCACTCATCCAGGTCTGGTAGTGCACCTCCTTTTTGCCAGGCTTGGTCTACTACGGGGTGGATAATAGGTAACATGACTGACCTGGGCTCTGCCTAATTGGTGCCCACAATTTGTGAGGGAGAAAAACAATTGAAGGAACACACACAATACAGGGTGGTAAGGAAAACAGCGAGGAATAGGAGCCCATGGAGGGAGACCTGGGGTCTCAGCTCACACGTCATTCAGAGGGCTCTTCCTGGAACACTGTCATCCAAAGTAACATTCTGTCCTAATACAGGTCAGAGAGCAAGGATTCAGAACTCACATGATTAGAAAGGTGGCTGGGAAATAATTCCTTTATTTTTATATTTATTTATTTGAGACAAGATCTTATTGTACAGTCCAGGCTGACCTTGAACTCGAAGTGATCCTCCTGTCTCCACCTCCCAAGTGCTGGGATTACAGGTGTGTGCTACCATGCCTGGCTATCCTTGTATTTTCTATTCTAGACAACCTCAAGAAATAATGTTTTTTACCGCACTGTTTTCCAAGCCTTCTAATGCTAAGATACTTTTCTTCGCTATTGAACAATTTACAAGAGCTGACCGGACATTTATGATTACCCATATTTTGGGAGGGCAGTGGTGAATAAATGAGGTTTGTCCGCGATCTAGCACTGTGGACATGGAACAAGCAGCTACTGTTTCTCATTTATAACCATTACAGTTCTTCTTATGTGGGGCACTGGCAAGGCAGGTGGGCTTCCTATGTCTTCAACAGAGGACTTAGAAAGTAGCCAGTGTGCAGAGAGTCCCATGACTTAAGGCAGACTAAACATAAAGCCTGTGCTCTATCCTAGTTCCTATGTTACAAGGTAGATAAACATCCTTGTGTTTGTAGATAGAAGTGAACATACTTGGAAGAAAATATTGTAACAAATAAAATATCACTAGAAAATAGTCATCCTACTTGTTTAAAATTGCCTAACCCCCCCTGGGATACTCACAAGTTTTAACTTTTTGTTAATTCACACTGTAACAGCAATTTATATATATTGAATATTTGCTTTGTGCTAGGTACTGGTCTAGGTGCTTCCTATCGCTGTGAGGTAAACAAAATTAATCTTTTCTTTTTGTGGCTGGCTGGTATGGCATATGGTGCCAGAGATCAAACCAGGGTCCCTGTACTTGCCTAAATTTGCCTAAGCAGGCATTTTAGACCACTGAGTTGTCTTGCTGTCCCTAATCTCCATTTTATAGAGGGAGCAAATGAAGCACAGGTAGGTGAAGGTCATGTGCACTGGCAGTTAGGTGCAGCTACTGAGGGGTCGGATCTGAATGGGCCTCCTATACCTGCCACTTTAATTGCTATTAAGATGCCTCTCACACAAGTATTTTCATCTCAGAGCTAATCTCTTAATCCCTTAATGTATGACCTCTTCATCTTTGATTAATGCATTATGTAGCATCAATTACAATTTCTCCAGTTCAGTGTAGCCCAGATTAAGATGACTTTCTTAAAATGGTCTTGGTTTACCTTTGTTGAGTCTAAGGTTGATATCCCTGGTCCTGTTACGTTTTGGTGTAAGTGACATACTCTTTTTTTCTCCCTCAAGATTGTTCTTTTTGGGGGCTGGTGAGATGGCTTAGTGGTCTAAAGCACCTACTTAGAACAAGCTTAGCAAAGCACATGGACCGTGGTTCACATGCCAGCCAGCCCCGCCCCCAGGCGGGCTGAGCTGGCCACACACACACACACACACACACACACACACACACAAATAAATAAATAAAATAAATAAATTTTAAAAAAGAGTGTTCTTTTTCAGATTGTTAAAATTTTGTAGATGGTACAATGTGAAACAGCAGAGATTGCAGCTACTGGATTGTGAAGGATCTCACAGAGCATGGTAAGAAATGTAAATTTCATTCTGAAGCCCACCAGGAGATGGTAAAGGGCCTTAGACCATGAAATTTTCTTAGGTAGATCATTATGACAACTTCCAAATGAAGAAAGGATTGAAAGGAAGTAAAACTAGAGGCCAAGAGACCAGTTAGGAAGCTTTGATAGAAATATAGCTTAGATATTGGTGGCTTGAGCCAGTGTAGGTGGGAAAGCAATGAATAGAACCAATGGATGTGAGCACTGGGTAAGAGGGCATGAGAGAGTGGTGGCTGTGGAGAGTGGCTGTTTTCTGGTTTGGGTAACAGGGAAGTTCTTCCACAGGTACACAGAAAGAACAAAGAAGAGAGAAAAGCTATAGTTATCAAAGCATTTAAACTCAAATTGTAGGATGTTGAACTTAAGACAATGTTAGGGCTTGTATCTAGATGTCCCCTTCAAAGCTTCATATGCTCATAAGTTGGGGTTTTCAGAGCGGGCTGGGCCTAGGGAATGCAATACTAGAATTAAGGGTGGATGGCACAAATTAGTCCACTTACTGGAACTAGCATAGTTCTGGGTGGTATCACCCAAAAGTTTGGATGGGATGAAAGAGAAAGGCAGGTTAGGTGTTGGCTGCAGCTTGTGTCACCGTTTGCTGCCTTCTGTTTGCCATACCATGAACTGTTTTACCTCTGCAATGTCCTTCTGCCTTACTACCTTGCCTTGAAGTCAGTTGACTATGGACAGAAACCTTTTCACACTGTGAACTGAGATAAATTGTTCCCTCATTTAACTTTGGGTGTTAGGCATTTTGTGTCAGCAATAAAAAAAGTAACTAAGATTTAAAATTCAGTGTGTGAGGAAACCTGTGCTTAAGAGAAGGATAGTAGTGGGGAATTCTGCAAAAAAAAAGCTGGGCCTAGGCAGGGTGCTCCCTGCAGTCAGGGAAGTAGGGGAAGAGACTCCTCCTAGGAGGGCAGGAGTTAGAAGGTCACATGTTAGGAGATCCTGGGCAGCAGGAGGAATAGGCAGGGTCTGTGGACTTTAGTGACTATAAGTTGTGAATGACTGGCTGAAGACAGCTCAGGTGGAGCAGTGGAGGTCAGAGTTTACCTATGACTAGTAAGTGAACAGTGACATTTTTGTTAAGATATTTGGTCTAAGAAAGAGGTAAGATGATGCTAACTAGCTGTAAGGACCCAATGAAGTGAGGACAAATGTGTCCATTTATACAACTACTGCCATACCTCTCCTTTTTGCTTTTAGATTTAAGAGACTTGGACCTCAAAGTTTGAGTGCTGAAGGGAAGGAGTAGAGAGAAAAGTAAAAATGGAGAGCAGGCTTGAAGGGATCGTGCTCCGTCGCTTACAGATGAAGATAGCTACCTTGACAGGAAGGCGATTTCAGCTTCTGCTGCACCAGAAAGGAAGAAGCAGAGGTGAGAAGGGAGGTGAGCTTGCAGGTGATGGAGGGAGGGGTTCCTGCCAAGGGTGTCTGTTCTTTTCAGTGAAGCAGAAAATGAGGTGCCTACTGCTGATGGTGGGGCCAGAGCTGCAAAAGGTTGAAGCAGAGAACAGAAGGCCACATTTGGATTCTGTGGAGGATGAGGAAAGAAACGGGCAAAGGAAATCAGGGAAAAATTGATTGGAATATTGAGGATCAGTTGTGGCTGTAAGGTATGGATTTGGACCCACAGTGAATCTGTCATCAGTGAGACTTTTCTCTGTTATAATCAGCTGCCAGGGAATGGGCAGAGGGAAGGTGGACAGGTGGGTTCTATTTTTAGGATCCTTAAAGTCTGAGCAGCTTTTGGCACCTGGAGAGGAACACTCACCACCACTTGTGCTTTATTTATTATAGTTTAATTTATGTATTTCATAAACCTTCATAAGCAAAAACTGTTTAAGCATGTAAACACTATTTAAATGACAAACTAAAATCTACACATTTTACAAGTCAAATTATTTTAATGTTGATTACAGATTTAATCAAATCTTCTTAAACATTTGAGTCAAGTTATCGGTCTAATATATCAGCTCCTCTAAAAGCTTCACACATTTCAGTAAATCAAAGACATAAGTACAATGATCATATGCATCTTAAAATATACGTAAGCCCATTATAGAGTGGATGTGTAAACCCAAGAGATGTATACTATTTCACTTCAGAACAATTCTTCAATTTTGATATCAAAGAGAAGAACATTATCTTAAATCAAATGAATGCTGATGAAACTTAATCAATGAATTCTTGTTTTGTACCTAAGAAATGATTTGGTTTTTAAGATGATTAAAATGAGCCAGTATATATCTGGTATATTACAGGAATTTACAAGCCGCACATTTTCTGCACATTTAGTACATTGCACTGCATGTCTTTTCTCTTTAAGGTGTCATCTGTAAGTTAAAGACTGTGGTACAAGATTTATCAAAGATATTTCTGCCCTAATCCTTAGAACCTGTGCATTTTTTAGGTTACATGGCAAAAGGGACTTTGTATGTGCTGTTAAGGTTATGGACCTTAAATGGGGAAAATTATTTTGGATATTGGGGTGGGCCCCATTTAACCATGTGAATTGTTAAACTCAGGGAACTTTCTTCACTTAAATCAGAGGTTATGTAGCAGAAAGATAGGCCTGAGAGATGGGCTGCAGTTGGTTCTTGGAAGTAGAGGAGTCTAGGAATCTCAGTTCTACAGCCATAAGGAACTGAACTACAGATGAATTGGGATGTGGATTCTTCCACACAATGAAAGAAGGCAGTGTCGTTGACTACACCTTGCTTTTGACTTTGTAAAACCTTGAGCAGAGAGTCCCCTCATGCTCTGCAAGACTTCTGATCTACTGAAATTGATATAATAAAAGAGTGTGGTTTTTTTGCCACTGAAATTGCTGTAATTTGTTACACAGCAATAGAAAACTAAGACAGCAATTTATATTAACAAACTGATCTAGCCTAATTATATTTTGAAAATTTTTAGTCATCTTCCCCAATATTCATTCTTTTTTTCTTCCTTAATTTTAGCTTACTCTCAACTGTACATGGCTGCAGGAATAAAGTCTGGGTTTCCTGTCCTATCTCCCTGAATTGGTGTGGCCACGTGTGACTAATTCTGGCCAATAAGATATAATTAGAAATGTTGGGCGTACCTTTCAGAAAACTTCTATAAGGCAGCTGTCTTCTTTCTCTTTCCTGGAAGATGTTACGCTGATGTAATGGCTGGAGATCGAGAAGCCACTCTGGGTCATGAAATGGTATCTCAAAGACCGTAGAACAGAAAGGAAACTTGACTTTGATAATCGTAAAACTGCTGCTCATACCTGAAGTCACTTATCTGCAGATTCTTTCATCTGAGACAGAAATAATCTATTTTGTTTAAGCTATTGTTCCAAGTCACAAAAACATTATATATATGATAGTGGTGGTGTGTACGTATTGCTGGTGCTTGAACTAAGGGCCTCATGCATGATAGGCAATGCTAGGCAAGTACTCTACCACTAAGCTACATGACCTGCTCTATAATTTTTTTTTAAAATGTATTTGGTTCAGGGTCTCGCTGCACAGCTCAGACTTTGGCGATCCTCCTATTTCAGCCTCCCAAGTGCTGGAATTATGGTTTTGGTGGTCATCTCAGTGTGAGGCCAGCACAGCATGTGGTACTAGGGATCAAACCCCTGGTTCCTTGCTCTTGCTAGGCAGGTGCTTAGGCTGCTGAGCTATCTTCCCAGCCCCCTGCTCTATTTTTAAAATCATAGATTTACATTGGTATTTCCAATTTAACTTGAACATTAATATTTTTATTTGACTGTAATATGTAACCTCACATATATTTTCTTCACAACATACCATACCTGCTTGTATCTGTAGCCTTTGGTTCAAACTGCATCTCCTCTCTCTAATGAGCCTCTGATGTCTTACCTATTGCTATTCTCTAGTTACTGTATTGGTCGATGCATCCATTCTTGACTAGTGAGACAGTGGACTAGGAAAGAGAATTTATGATATTGGCAGGTGAACAGTTAAAGAGGTGAATCATGGAATTCTAGGTACTAAGAAGCTTAAGAAGATGACAGCATAGATCAGGGGGAAGCAGCCAGGTGTTGGGGATAGGCTGGAACAGGTACAGGGAAGGTGACTCAGTGAGATAGTTTGCTAGAGAAATGGTGGGCAAGAGTGTAAAATGACTGAATTTCAGACATCAAAGATGAAGAATTCCAGGAGATGGCTAAGCAAGAGGACACATATACTCCATGATCCCTGTGTCGCGTTCTACCCCCTCTCCAGCTTTGTACACTAGTTCTCAGTTCTACTTGTGATCAGAGTAAACACCCCTCCCCCAAGTCTCTGGAGGAAAGTGAGGGCAGAGTCCACCTGGGATCTGGTGCAAATGGACAGCCAGCCTCCTCACTGCTAGCATGTGCAAGTGTTTATCAAAATATACAGGGAATGTTCAAATTAAAAAATACTATTGCAATAAATCGTATGTATCCTATTGTCCTCCCTATTTTCTGAAGCAGTTCTGAAAGTCCACTTTCACAAGTCTTTATGAAATGTGATCAAAAGTACGGTGAAGGCTGCTATGTAGTGCTAGCCAACAAGACAGGCAGACTCATAGGCACACTATAGTGTGTCCATCCACCATATTCATTGAATCTGGCTCTAGGCAATTTCTGGATCTTCTCAGAGTTAAAAAAAAAATGACCATGAAAAGTAAATGTTTTGAAATATTTATTCAGGTCATCTAGGTAGCCATGACAGTGCAACTAAAGATATTCACCAAAAAGGATGCCCAGAACTGCTTCACAAAGTGGCAAGAATGATGGGCTGTGTTGAAAGTTTGTGTGTGGGGGTGGTATTTTGAGAGCAATTAATAGTATGTTTTTTTGCTGTAATAATTTAAACAAAAATTCACCATAATTTTTATACCTCACATGCAGCATATGCACCAGGTTCAAGCTAAGCATTCATCTCCTTCCTGCCCCACCAGCCGCAGGCTGTGGACTGCTCTGTCCCCTTATTCACACTTCTGTTTTAGACTGAGCCTCCTGCCCCAACCATATGGTGGTGTGGGCTGAGATCCATAATGTTGGCTCTCCTCACAGGAAGGACCTGCAGGGTATTCTGAGGCTGATCCATCTGGGCTCCTGTGGGAGCCTGTCCACCTGTCCCCAAATAGCACTGAGTAGGAAGCTGGGCTGGGGGAGCAGAAGCAGAGAATGCAAAGTAGTGCTTGTGCCTCCCTCCCTGCCCAACCTTGCCCTGGGCCTAGGACTGCAGCACAGAAATGCAGTGGGAGGCTGGGAGGGGACCTGTGCATGGCAGTGGGATGAGAAGGGCCAGGTCACAAGGGATACACCTCTTCTCTTCTCTTCTCTTCTCTTCTCTTCTCTTCTCTTCTCTTCTCTTCTCTTCTCTTCTCTTCTCTTCTCTTCTCTTTTCTCTCTCTCTCTCTCTCTCTCTCTCTCTCTCTCTCTCTCTCTCTCTCTCTTTTGTGCTTGGCACAGGACTTCATGCAAGAAGATGGGATACAGGCAGCCTATGGGAGGTCTTTCTTGCCCCAAGGGAACTCTGGGGGGGGGGGCAGGGTGGGTAAAGCAGTAGTCTGGGGTGGATTTCTGTCTTTCAAAGGCCTGGACCCTCAGAGTGGGAAGATGAGGAAGCCAGAGAAGCTGGAATATTTCCAGCCACCTAGAAGATTCCCCCGACGCAGGCGCAGGGACACTCTGTCCCCAGGGTCCAGGGGAAGCAGCACAGAACTGGTGGCTGCCTCCCGGGTCACATCAGGGTCATTGGCAAAGGCTGAGACGACAGGCCATGTGTTCAGCATCAGGCTTACCTGGGGAGGGGGGCCAGTTAGCACCCATTCACCAGCCCTTAACTTAGGGCCCTCACTTTCTCAAAGGCTTTCTCTTGGGAATTTGGGGGATAATGGACTCCCCTGGGTGGATTCTGCACATCCTCCACTTTGCGAGGCAGGGCCTTTCCTGTCTCCTGCCCCCAGGACACAGGTCAGTGGATGCACACCAGAGCTCAGGTGGGCTCTACTGACACTCCCTCCCTCCTTTCTGGAGCTGGGGCCTTCTCATCACCTGGACAGTCTGGCGGTTGTACACTTTCACCACATGGAACCGGAAGCTGTAGACTCCCCGGACAGGGGCCACGAAGGAGCCGGAGGCCCGGTCAAAGCCTCCACCCTCGTTCACCAGGACCTAGGGGAAGCAGAACCTGCTTGTGGGGCGGAAGGATTCCTGTGGCTCTCAGGGCAGCACTGGGCTTGGGGCAGGGGAAAAGTAAGGTAATGGAGCTGAACAGGAGAGTATATAGTATTCCAAAGATAAGGTGAAAAAGGGCAAAGTGTGGTGGTGGTTTGTAACTGAGGAAGGGAAATGATCTGTGGATATTTCAGGGGAAGGCACACAGTGGGCTTGGATGGTCAATCTAGGTCCCTACGAGGTCCCCTGGAGTGGGCAAGGGGATTACCTGGTCGAAGTAGATGGCCCCACCGGTGCCGTTGCCTGTCTCCCCTGCTGGCTCGTGGTGGTGGCTCCGGACTGCAGCAAATGCCACTCTTCCTGGGGGTGCTTCTCCCAGAGCTGCGCCCCCGGGACCACCTGCAGCAGCTCGGCCAGGCTCACAGACCACCAGGCATTCGCCCTCCAGCAGGACAGGCTCAGATCCCTCCTGGGCCCATCCAACCCTCACAGCTAGAAGCACCAGGGCCAAGGACAGCCCCAGGCCGTGTAAGGGACTTGGTGGCCGGGGTTGTTTTGCTCCTAACATGGCTGAGTGCCCAGCCACGTACAGGTACCCTTGTCTCCTGTACCTTTCTGCTACTTTTGGTTTCTGCTCTGACCCCGTTCTCACCATCCTTCACCTGGCTCCACCGCTCCCTGTCTGGGTCGCACTGCCACCTGGCCTCTGCGCCTCCCTGTCCATACCTGTGCCCCATCCCCGCCGCCCACTCAGCTGCTCCCTTTGTCACTTCAGTTCCCTCCTCCTTGGCAGAGCAAGAAGTGACAGCATTTGGGCCCTGGGAGGGAGAAACGGGATGAAGACGGACAGGGGGACCAATCCAGAGCTCCAGGGACAGCAGAGCTGCAGGGACAACAGCACTCCCGGACGGACCTTCTGCAGGGGACGATACTGGAGTCTGGTCCTGGGGCCACAGGGAACTGCGTGGTGCGTGTGGTGTATGTACTCATGCTGTGGCCCCATCCTTTCTTCTTACTGCTTTCCCTGCAAACTCCCTCACACATCAACACCTCTCTTCTGAGAGGTCTCTTCAGCTGTTGGAAGAAAGGGGCGCCCTTGTCTTCCTCACAGTTGTTTCGGTGGGAAGTGCTCGGGCCAAGAGGTCATTACCCTGTGACACGGGGCCATTTCCTTTTTCTCTCTTTGGTCTTCCACAACCTCTCCCGAAGCGGCCCCTCCTTCCCGACAAAGGACAGCGTAGAGCGCCCAAAAATCGGGTCTGGGTCCTCAGTAGGGATCCGGGCAGGGCGGAGGGAGGCGCAGGCCTTGAGGGGAGGGGCGGTGCTGACTCCGCCCCAGGCCAGGAAGTGACTCAAAACACAGTTTGAGATGTAAAGAGAGGTCTCTGTTGGGCGAGGATCCCGGAAAGGCCCGCCCAGAATCGGGCCCCTGCACTCGTCCCCCGGCCAGGGGCGCAGGCGAAGTTGGGAGCGGGGCCTCCTGACCAGCTGGCGGCTCAGGCGGTAGGCGCGCTCGACCCCCGAGCCCGGGAGCGGGAGGCTGCGGTGGGCAGTGCAGTCAGGCCCGGGACTAAGGCCGCAATCGATCTGCTGTGGGCGGGACAGTCCCGGACCCTGGCCCGGGTGGCGCGTCGGGACTAACCCTTGAGGGGCGGCAGGGGCGTGGCTAGAGCGCGCAGCTGGGGCCCACCTGATGGTTCACGCTCCTGTGAGGGTTCGTCTTGGAGAGGCAGTCTGCGAAGGTTGCCGAGTTCCCGGAGAGGCTCGGTTGTCACCCATCCACCCCTGTGGTTTCCAGACCTAGCTGGAGGCCCCTATCCTTTTTGCTCCGGGCTGTGGTCGGTTTCCCGACCGTCAATTCCTCTTTGGGAGAAGAGGCTTGCGTTCCGGATAGTCTGACCGAGATGGCTTCAGATGCTTGTTGCCTCCTGGAGTTGTTTACTCGAATCGTAACGAAGTGCGACCTGTTGATTGTCGGCATGGGCTGGGAGACAGAGATTTAGGTTTCGAGGACTGTGAGGCTCTGAGTTGCCTTCTTTCTTTCCAGGGCTGGGGGAAGAAGCCATGCCTACTTGGGGGGCTGGCTCCCTGACCCCCGACCGCTTTACGGTGTCTGCGGAGGCAGAGGACAAGGTACGGGCGGAGCAGGCCCGTTTGGAACGCATCTTCCGTGTGGGGGTGTGCATCCTCCCCAGAGACTGCCGGGAGAACCCCCACATTTGGCTGCAGCTGGAGGGCCCCAAGGAGAATGTCGGCAGAGCCAAGGTGAACTCTTCTTCCTAGTCCTTCCAGGGAGCCAGGAAGTGCCGCGCACCTCCAGCCCCCTCAGGCAGAATCCGCGGAGCTGCCTGGGAGGATCGCCACCCCTTGGCTATCTGTCTGGTGCTGGCACCGTCAGTGTCCCCTAGCTTTGAGGGGCTTCCCCACTCTGGAGTTTTGGTTTCATTTTTGCTGTGGCAACCTAGATTTCTTCAGAAATGAATCACTGTGTGCTTTTTGGGAGGGCAGAGCAATTGGCCCTGCCAAAGAAGTTCGTGTAAGGGACGGGGGTAGGGGTCAGCAGGTAGCAATGGGAGGTGGGAGGGGTGGTGTCTAGCAAGGGTTCTAGTTTGACTCTGCCACCTGCCAGTCTTGAGATCCAGTTTTAGTTTCCTTATCTGTAATGCGGGAATAGTCGCATTATCTTACCTCGATACTCCAGGCATCCTGGAGCTAGGGGTGGTGGGTGGGGGGAGTAGAGCAGTGAACCAGAAGGGAATGGCTTCCAGTACTTTCCTTTTCTGACCTTCCCCCAGGAGTACCTGAAGGGTCTCTGCAGCCCGGAACTGCAGAATGAAATCCACTACCCACCCAGACTGCATTGCATCTTCGTGGGAGCCCGGGGCTTTTTCCTTGACTGCCTGGCTTGGAGCACATCAGCCCACCTGGTTCCTGGGGCTCCTGGCTCACTAATGATCAGTGGGCTAACTGAGGCCTTTGTCATGGCTCAGAGTCGTGTAGAGGAGCTGGTGGACCGGCTGAGCTGGGACTTACGTCCAGGGTTGTACCCCACTACGGCTCAGTGTAGTGGAGTGCTAGGGGCCTTCCCTGCCCTGCTGCAGCCCCGGGAGGATGCTTACACAGAGGCCCTGCTGCAGCTGCCCTCGGCTGTCCAGGAGGAACTGCTAAGTCTGGTGCAGGAGGCATGGCCATTGGAGCAGAGGAGCCCATTGGGTGCTCTGCACCAGGAAGTCAGAGCTCCTCTGAGTGAAGGCCGGGAATCTCTGGATGCTGGATATGTAGGGCAGGGAGAGGCAAGGGGGGCAAGTGGAGTGAGTCATACTGTGGAGAAGAATAGAGGGCAGCAGGGTAGTTCCAGGGAGGTGGATCTGGGGTGGAAAGAGGCCTGGGAGAAAGAAGTGACTTCGCAGACAGAGCCAGCAGGTGATGAGATAGTGGAGATGGGGTGCCTGAAAGGAATTGCCTTGGCCAGGGAGGAGGTGATTCAGGGAGGAGGAGGATTTAGTGTCCACAATGAGCCTCCTGGTACTCAGGTCCCCTGTCAGAGGACAGCTCATTCCAGGGGAGCCTCCCTCCTTCAGCGGCTCCACAATGGGGAAGCCACACCTCCAAGAGTGCCTAGTCCCCCACCTGCACCTGAGCCTCCTTGGCCCTGTGGAGACCAGGGAGATTTAGGGGACAGAGGAGACAAGCAGCAGGGTCGAGGTCGAGGATCTTCATGGAAACGAGGCACACGTGGAGGCAACTTGGTGACTGGCACTCAGCGTTTTCAAGAGGCCCTGCAGGATCCTTTCACCCTGTGCCTTGCCAATGTGCCTGGCCAGCCAGACCTCCGCCATATCGTCATTGATGGCAGCAATGTGGCCATGGTGTGAGTACCTGGTGGGGCTCAGATTCCTAGGGATGAAGGATGAGACAGGTGTCTTTGTCTACCTTGGAGACATGTGCCAGACCCTTCTCTGGCTCTCAAGTGCTGACCCTTTCCTACTGCAGGCATGGCCTCCAGCACTATTTCTCGAGCCGGGGTATTGCCATTGCTGTGCAGTACTTCTGGGACCGTGGCCATCGTGACATAACCGTCTTTGTGCCTCAGTGGCGCTTTAGTAAGGATGGCAAGGTCAGAGGTGAGTTGGTTCTGGACATCTTTGTCCTGAGATAGACTCTACCTGGAGGATAACTGTATTTATGTCTGTTCTTTTTTTAAAAAATAGAGATTCACTTCCTGCAAAAGCTGTACTCACTCAGCCTGCTTTCCCTCACCCCCTCACGAGTCATGGATGGCAAGAGGATCTCCTCCTATGATGACAGGTACTTGTTCCTCCCCTGACCCCAGGAGCCCAGTGGGAGACTGAGGGAGACAGGGAAGCTTCTCACTGTTTACTCTGTCTCTCTGTAGTGGTGGAAAGAGTTACTTTTTCATCTGTCCAATGACTCATTCTTCCTTCATCAAACTAAGCTACAATGTATGTAGAATGCCTTACTATTTAGAAAATACTGGCTTAATGGAAAAGTGGGAAAGCTGGTGACATGAACAATTGAGAGATGCCTTCTTACAATCTAAATTTTCAAATGTGTGGAGAAATTCCTCCAACATTATGGAAAAACCATAGTAAACATTCAAAATAAGTAGGATGAAGAAACACATTATGTGAATAATGGGACTGTATATATATAGTTGTATTTGAAAGATCACTGGATTTAGAACTGGAAGATCTGAATTTGAGCCTCAAATTGTGCTACTTATTGAGATTGTATGTGGGCCCATCTCCTAGTGAATTAACCTCAAAGTCTTCTATTCATTCACTCTTTAAAAAAATTTTTTTTAAAAAATATTTTTAGATTTTTTTTTTTCCAGTACCAGAGATTGAACTCAGGACCTTGTGGTTTCCAGGCAGGAACGTATGCTGCTGAGCTATCTCCCCAGCCCCTTTTTTTTTTTTTGTATAGTACCTGGGATTGAACTAAGGACCTGGTGCTTGCCATGCAGATGCTTATTCTACTGCTATCTCTCCGGCCCTATTTTAGATTTTTTTGGGCAGATACATGGAATCAAATTGGCCCCAATATTTAAAAAAATTGTTTATTTATTTGGTATAGGGTCTGATGTAGCTCAGACTTGTAGTGATCCTCCTGTCTCTGCCTCTCCAGTGCTGGGTTTACAGGTGTGTGCCCCCATGCCTGGGGCTGACACAGTGGTGCCAGTGATTGAACCCCCGGGATCCGTGTGCTTGCTAGGCATGTGCTTAGACCACTGAGCTATCTTCCGAGCCCATTCACCCTCTTTGTGACTAATAAAAGGTATGAACTTGCCTCACACAAGGTGCTGGGCAAGAGTCCAGTGGTACTGCATCTTCAATTTGCACAGACCAAGTGTTTTTCTTTTGTAATTTTTTAGGGAAGGGTCTACAGGGTGTTCAGGGTCTCACTGCATAGATTGGACTCATAGTGATTTGCCTGTTTCAAGCCTCCCAAGAGCTGGGATTACAGGTGTATGTCACCACACCCACTCTCACTTGCTGTCTCATATCACCCTGTGGGTGGGAACAGCACGACAGGCCTGAGGATAGAACCCCTGGTCCCTGAGCCTGCTTGTAGGTGCTTTAATCCGCTGCACTATTTGGCCAACCCTTTGCATGGACCAAGTGTTACATAAAGTCTTACCTGCATTTTAGGTATGTGGAGATGGAGCGTAAGAATAGTCAGCTACCATGACAAAGGAAGCATAGACTTCATAGCTGCCAGATGGTTTACAAAAGAAAAAGCAGGGTATACATTGGCTACAGTGTGCCTGTGAGGTGTGGGGAATGTGCAGATTTTAAAGCTACTCAATTAAAAATTTTATAACCACAGTTCTTTTTACTTTAAGACATTAGTTTTTTAAAAATTTAGTTCTTAAACCATAGTGATGTTGTCTTTTCAGATACTTAACTAGTACCTCTTACAAGTAAATGGTATTTTATAAAAAGTTCACTTTCTCCCAGTACTACTTTATTTCTAGACCTCACATTTTCCCCCAAGGTATGGAAACTTCTTTCCTTACCAGCATTAAAAAAGAATTGAAATTGAAGACTGAGACAGTTTTAATGAATTTTAAAGAACGTGCCTGTGCAGTTGTGTGGGACCTGGCATGCAGAGAACACAATATAAATTGGAAACTTTGCCTTGCAACAGTGTTTAGTGCACAGGGCAGGCCTGCTGAACGAACATGTGGGACATACAAGGTAATGTAGTCCCAGTAAGACATGCTTTACTAGAACATGTTTCTTGTATCCAACATATATACATTACATGTTTATATATTAGCCCCCAGATGGAAACTCAGAACCAGACATTTCTCACACCTAAGCCTGATCCCTAGCCCCTTTGATACCATAATGTCTCAAATACCAACTTACTACTAGGTGTATGGTCTTCAGAAAGGAAAACAGAACATCTGATTTTTTACTTCAGAGAACCAAAAGAAACTATAAATCCAGTACCACAGGAACTCAGAGGGAAGGAAGCCCTCCTGTGACTTGGGTTTTGTAGGTAGGTAGGTAGGTAGGTAGGGCAGGGTTTGTGAATAGTTGGTTGAGAAGGATGTGGGGAGGACTGGATTGCTTGCTTTCTAAAGCTCTTTGAAGACCACTACTTACTACTGCATGCATCCTTCTCTGTGGAACCAGAATTACCAAAGTCAAGGGCAAGCATCTGTTTAAAAAAAGTACCCCTGGTGGTTCTGTTTATTAGCAGGTTTTGGGAACCACTTTCTAAAGGGAGGGAATAGTTTGAGAAACTTGGAAGACAGACAGCACAGGGCATGTTTAGAGAGCAAGATGTAATCTGATCATTGATTTTGGCTGGAGTTGAGGGTACACTGGGGAATACAGGGAGAAAAGGCTGTAAGGGTGGCTGGGAGCCAGGTTCTAGAGGGCTGTAGCTCCCAGGCTGGTCATACAGACTTTACTTGGTAGTTGAAGGGCAAGTGTGGAAGAGCTCTGTGTAGGGGAGGAGCGTGCTTTCTTGTTGGGAGGTCAGGAGGGATTGCATAGTGGTGAATGGTTAGAGGATGGTGAATTCTTAGGAGGCAGTGCAAGAAGCTACTGTAATATTTGAATCACTCAGGTAGTAATTATGGGACTAGGAGGGAAGGGGCAGAGTATAAGGATTTTCACTCAGATACTGGATCTGAGGGTAGAAGACAGAGTCAGAATTAGATCTTCTGCTGCTCAGGAATGAGACACAAGTGTCAGGTGGAGTATTGTGAGCTGGTGAGATGCTGTTGGGAGGCCACTTTGGATTCATCTTTCTTCTCTACTCTATGGCACTTGTATCCAATTAGTTACCTTAACCAATTAGCTGCGTTAAGGTGACATGGAGGGTCAGATGCGGGTTGAAGGATTTGGTAGCATTTGTTGGGGGTGGGGCTTTGGAGACATGCAGAATGGTTGCTGTGGCTTTTGAGACAGGTTCATGTTGAAGTTGGCTGAAGAAAGGAATGGAATCATTGTCTCCAATGACCAGTTCCGGGACCTGGCGGAGGAGTCTGACAAGTGGATGGCAATCATCAGAGAGCGGTGAGGGAGCTCTCTCTTGAGGATAGGGCACGGATTCAGAACTTTCTCTAAAAGCAGCTCTTCTCTGGCCACTGGGTGAGAACTCTGGGAAGGGACTTGAAGTTGCTTCAAGCAGTAGCTTCTGGTGGCGTTGGTCTCAGCTGATTAGGAGGTGGGCAAGGGTCATTCTGTGACAATTTTTCTTTCCTATCTAGCCTGCTGCCCTTCACCTTTGTGGGAAACCTCTTCATGGTCCCTGATGACCCCCTGGGTCGAAATGGGCCCACTCTGGATGAATTCCTGAAGAAGCCAGCCAGGTAATACTCACTCTGCAGGGAACTCCCAGCCCTGCTCCTCTCTGCTGACCTGGAGACCTAGTGGGAGTATGACCTCAGTTGAGGCCAGCTTCATTCTGCTGTAGTTGCACTGGAGTTGGCCTTTAAAATCTTCCTGGGGAATCCTGACGCAAACTCCCTGATTGGAAGGGAAATTCCTGTTTCTTGTCTCTTAATCAGTGTATTTGATGGAGTTGTGTGGAAGATGGTTGCTTGTACTGATGGCCAGTTTTACTTTCAGCATGCCCTCTGCTGGACCACTAAGAGATTAATTTAGAGTACATTTTAATAGTGGCAGGGTTCTTGATTCTCAAAATTCCAGTCTCTCCTTCAGAAGTGGGTCGACACTGCCACTCTGTGGTCACATTTGGGAACCTCAGGATTGTGCCCCTGAGTCAAGATGGGAGTGCAATTATGAGAGAAGTGGCCCACTGAGGTCTAATTTCCCTCCAGCACGTTCTTGAGCTCTTTCTGTTCTACTCTGTCCCAGGAAACAGGTGTCTACCAAGGCTCAGCATCCTTCCAAGGGCTTTGCAGGACATGGGAATCAGCAGCAGGGGAAGGAAGAAGAAAAAGTCAGCAGTGCCATTCGGAAGACCCGGGAGACAGAGCGGCTCCGTCGCCAGCTGTTGGAGGTGTTTCGGGGTCAGGATCACAAGGTGGATTTCATCCTGCAGCGGGAACCGTACTGCAGGGACATTAACCAACTGTCAGAGGCCCTGCTGAGTCTCAACTTTTGAGCCTTACCTGCCTGTGTGACTGCTGCCCTGTTAGCTCCAGGCTTCCCTAGTCCAGCCCCACTTTTTTTTAAGGGTCCCTGTGCTGCTCGTACTCTGGCCTGGGATCACTCTGAGTTGGTTCTTTGGGCCAGAGAAGAACCGGAAGAGCATTCCAGTGAAGAGAAAGTTTTTGTCCGGTCATTTTGGGGACAGAAAGTGACCTAATCTCAAGTCAGAACAGCAACCAGCTTGCAAGAGGTTCTGCTCATCCTTAACTTCCCAATCTTGCTTTAACCATCTTGCTTTCTGTAGGAAAGGGGCTGCTAGAAAGAGAAGTTGTGGAGACTGGAGAGTCTTGGTGCAGGCTGGAGTAACCCAGGGCTGGCAAAACATCTGAGGCTTTCCTCCCCCTGCTTGCTGTTCTGACCAAAGGACTGGCTGAAATTACAGGCTGGACTGTTCCCTGGGGGTATCAGAAGGAATGCTAGCCTCTTGAGGAGCTGTCCTGTTAGGTAGGCTGGGTAGCAGTGTGCTGAGGAAGGCAGAGGGTGGCTCGTTTCCAATCTCAGCTATGCCTGTCTGTGGCTTTGGTTGAGCTGCTTGGCCTTTACTTCTGCCAATAAATCAAGAGTAAAAGTGCCTGTTGGAGGGAGAAGTAGGATCGTAGAGGAAAGGTGCTGGGACCAAGCCTCAGATGTGGCTGCACAGGCTCCCTAACCAAAACTTTGCTCTCAGAGAGATGTGGCTCATTCATGTTTAGGTTCCAAACCCTAGATTTTAACACTGTGTCCTCAGAATAACATGCTGCATAATGGCTACAACCCTTTTGGGCAACTCTCAGTATTCACATTTATGAAATAGCTAAGTCAGGGGTGACTGCATTATCACGAATACTCTCAGGGTTCCTATAAATGGCAGCTCTCTTGTTGCATCAGGTATTTGTTTACAGATGCACAGATGTGTCAGGATGTCCTTGGTGTGGAGTATCAAATCCATGAAGCCATGCTCGGCAATGATGTTAATATGATCTGAGCTAACATTTTCTGAGCTAACATTTTCTTTACAAAGACATAGGTTGCATAAGTTGAGGCACTTCTGCTTTGTGTCTATGTGTGTGCACAGCTGTGCATGTATATGGAGCGGTTTTATCTAGATGAAGCAGTTGCCTGGAAAGTGAAAACTGAAGAGTCAGAGTTAGAAGGCACCTTATTGGCCTCACAATAACTCCACTAACACACATGACATCTGGTCTCAATGCTGATTCCTGCAGGTCATTGCCTTGTATCTGCTTGGATTCCTTCTGTGCTGAGGAATTTACTACCTTAAGGTAGCACATTTCTTACAGGGACAGTATTCACTGATAGTCCTTCTTCTAAGGTAGCCTACCAGATGCTTTTTTGTTACCTTTGATTTCCCCAGGCACAGAGGTAGTCAACCTCCTAGAGTCCTAGACCAAATGACGTAGGACAGGTGCCCCTGGGCTTTGTTCTGTTTAGGCCCTGCAGTACATCACTGATGAAGATCCTTTGTAGGCTCTGACTTCTTTCCTAATAGGCAGGGAATTAAGCATGAGGAGCTGAACAGTGGGGGAGGGTCCCCAGGTCTCAGTGGCTTGGCCCTTCTACCTGCTGGTGCTTTAGATTGCTAGTCTGTATTGATGCAGGCTGGAGGTGTGCATAATGGAGACAAGCTGGTCAGGCAGGGGTTAGTGACTCAATCCATAGTGCCCTGGGAAAGAGGAGGACTGGATAATATGGTCCAAATTGGCAGATGAACTACTGCTGGTTAAATCATGGCAGACGTCACTCTTTAGGTAGATGAAAAGGGTCCCAGGTGAATACCTGGCACCTACATTTTCCTGACAGGGTTAAATTTGTAGCCTGTGATTGGTTCCCTGCCCTTTCCACTCTCTGATGATGAAAGTGCAATAGGTCAGAGGGCTCTTCTGCCCTTTTGTAGGATCCTGGTAGATGGAAGTGGCTCTAATCAGATGAGAGGCAAATCCTAGGTGTTGGACTTGTGCTGCTGCAGGTTGACAAACTAGGACTAATATGATTACTTTTTAATTCACTGGCATTTGGTGACACAGACTGAAGGCTAGCCTACACCGGGGGCTCCTCCTCTGCTAATATTCCTGATGGCATGTACTCAGTGAACAGATGTGCAGGATGACCACAGAACTCACTGGAAATGGACAATCATTTCTTTTGTCTTCTCTCTTTAACCTTATCATAACTTTATGCCTTATACTCTGATCAGCCCTTCTGGTAAACAGGAACCAAGATGGGAAAGGATGAGAAGAGCTGTTGCCTATTGTAACTTTAAAAACCCCATGCTGGGAAAAGTCATATAGAATGACATCCTGGAATAGTATCTAGGAGAATGTAGGCCAAAAAGATGAGTGGAAGCCAGTTAGATAATTTAATCTTTATTGTCAAAACCGCAGCATATTCAACACAGCACGAAGGAGAATTGGGGCAACAATGCAACACAGAGGAAAACAAACTTGGAAATTTTTTACAGGGACTAGAAGAGGTCAAGGTCCCAACTTGGTGAGATACAGCCTTGAGACTGGAGAATTTCTCAGTTAAATAAGGTGGGGCGACAGAATGATGGGGAAGAGAAGAATGAGAGAGGTTTCTTGAAGACCCAGATGATTTCTGATCTCCAGTAGAGCATAACCTGCGGCTGTTCACAGTATCTAACCAGGCACGTCTGGCAGGGGATAAGCCTGGGCTCCTGCCAAAAGCCTCTCTACTTAGGCTACAACTTCCTTCAAGGCAGCCCCCAGCTCTGGGAAGGAATACTGGTAGCCTGTGGCCAGTGTCCGCCGGGGCACCACCTTCTGGCCCTCCAGCAACATGGTGGCACGTTCTCGCCCAAAGACAGCTTGTACCACAGTGCTGGGGACTGGGATGAAGGCTGGGCGGCCCAGGGCAGCGCCCAAGGCTTGGGCAAAGTCAGCATTGGTAGTGGTGAAGGCTGGAGCCACGCCATTGAGGACCCCCTGCACGTGGTTTGCTTCAAGGGCATGGGTCAGGATTCCTGCCAGGTCCCTGATGTGAATCCAGGGGAAGAATTGGTGGCCTGAGCCGATGGGCCCCCCAAGGCCCAGTCGGAAGGGCAGCAGCATATGGCCGATGGCACCACCTCCATGGCCCAGCACAACTCCTACAACAGGGAGGTGTGTGGTACAAAGAGGGCTCTCCACTTGGAAGCAGTCTGACTACTCCTCATTCTTCAGTTTCCCCTTTTTTTTTATTCTTTCCCTACATGGACTCTGCTGTGTACCACAGGTGAGGTGTGTGGCTGTCTGGGACTTCCCATCCTCCTCTCTGCAGGTTGTCTAGAAGTGGTAGCAGCGTCTCACTATCTGTAAGCTCAGCTCTGCAGATTCTACTCCATCCTCCCCAGCTAAAGAAGCCATTCCACCCTGTCTGGTACCAAGTTACTTAGTTCTTACCTGAGCGCACCACCACCTGGCGTGTAGATTCTCCAGGAAGCCTGGCTGTGGCTTCCCATTTGGTCACAAGGTTGGAGAAAAAGTCAAAATCTCCCCCTGGGCTGTCCTCATCATACTCTGCAGTCAGACTGGGCTGGTAGTAAGCTGTCAGTGGAAGAGCACTCATGAGCTCCAGGTGTCTTTGACCTGCCTGGTCCTTTGCAGTCAAGGCTGCACTGGCCTTGCCCTCTGTGGTCCTTGGGATATCTCCATGTAAATTTTACCCTTGAGCTTCTCTGTGACCTGACCTGTTTCTTTTGTAAACTCCTTTCTTTTATCTGCTGGCTACACCCACAGGCTGCTAAAATGTAGTAGTTAGAAACAGAAACCTGGGTGCCAGGCTGCTTGAATTTTAATTTCAGCTCTGCCATTTCTTAACTCTTGACTTTCAGCAAATTACTAAACTTCTCTGTATGGAATCTGTGCATCTTTAAAATGGGAATAATAGTACCTACCTCATAGGGTTGTTGCAAGGATTAAATGATGTCATATGTATAAAACACTTTTGAGTACTTGCTTGTATGTACAATATGTAACTAATTACCAAAGGTGGCACACAACAGTCAGGAACTCTGCTCCTAAAGAACTGTGGTGCCATAAGCAAAGGACTTGGGAAGAGGTGGTCTTTTCCCAAGGTCCAGGCCCCCCTTCTCTGAGGGCTTGTATTTCTCAGGGAAAACGCAAAAGTCAGGAGAAACATTCACAGGTTGAGGGCCTAGTAGTTGCTGTGTCTGGAAAAGATTAGCACTCAGGTGTACACAGCTAGAGGCCCTGAGTTACCCTCCCCCACGTGAGAGGCTGGTGGTTTAGGGGCATACCTACACCTGTGACTAAGATCCAGGCCTGGGGTGGCTGTGGGGCTTTAGTGATGGCTTTTGCCAGCATTTGGGTGGTCTCCAGGCGGCTGGTGAGAACCTCTTTTTGGAAGGCTTCATTCCACCTACAGGAAAAGCGGAGGGTGAATTTAAAAAAAAAATCATTAAACACATACACATATGCCTTTATTCCTGGGGACTATTCTATGCCAATTTCTAGTAGAATTCGGCACTGCAGAACACGGCAGAGTATTTGCTGCAAGACAAAGGTGTATCTTTCTTGGGCATCCTGTTAGTCTTGAAGACTTAGATCAACTGAGTAGGGGTCCAGGTGGTGCGATGGGTAGTCCGGGGTATAGATTTAGTTCTCAATCTGGCAGCTCCATTATCCACAGTTCTCAGGTCCTCATTGGAGTCCGACCCTCTCCTCGACCTCTGCTGTGGGGGATATCCGCCTTAAGGCCCCGGCTGACCTTCGGAGAGGGTTGAGGATATTCTCCCCGGCCAGGTTGACCACAGCATCGCAGCTCGGCAGCCCAGAGTTGCTGAGTTCCTCCTGCCAGAGAAAGCAGCGTCCACCGCCCCGCCCGGCCGCACCCCTGACCCCTCCCACCATCTCCCCGGAGGATGGCATACCCACGTAATTCGAGCCGGCCCTGGCTGTCTGGAGACCAGCGTCACCTCGTGGCCCCTGGCTTTCAGCAGCCGGGTTAGGGCTGTCCCAATGAAGCCGGACCCACCGCCTGATCAGAAAATACAGACTTTACACCCCGGCGCGCAGGATGGCGCTCTGCGTCCGGGTTTGTGGGCCCCTACTCTGGTGCCCTCCCACCTCCCTCTTATCCCGGACTTCTACCCCGCCCCGAGGTCAGAGGTGACACAAGTCACAGGAATTAAGGGTATTCAGCTTCTAGGGCGAGGCGGCCAACGCCAGTGCTCTTTCGGCTAGGCCTGCCCACCTTCAATCACAGACGCTGCCCACCCCCCACGCTCCTTCTCTGCCCTCCCTCACCCACTAGCACCCGCATCGCGATCGGGACCCACCACGCCTGCGCAAGATTTAAAGCCACACCTTTTCCAGCCCCTCCCATTAGGGCCTTCTGCGCATGCGTCTTTTGGGGACGTGCGCTTTTCGCCAACGGAAACGTCGGACTCGAGACTGGGCGTGGCATTTCCTAGTGACCCGGAAGAATTTATAAAGAGTGGATTTCCGGGAGAGCAGAGGCAGGAGGCGGGCGGGGGAAGGGCTGGAGTAGATAGCTTGGGAGGTGCGGAAGCAACAAAACTCTATACTTAAAATTCGGAGCTATTGAAACCACAGAATTCTAGATATGTATTTAGTTTCGTGTCAGTAGTACTATGGATAGCCTTCTGCTCCTCCTATTTTATGTTCTCACTGCACTGGCTTCCTGTCGGCATTTAAACGTCCTGAAATTTCTGTCATCTTAGTTGAGGTTTATTATTGTTATTTAGTATTTTAATTGAGGTTAACTTTTTGGTTTTGGTGCCGAGGACAGAACCCAGGGCTTCCAGCTCGCTAGGCAAGTGCTCTACTGCTGAACTAAATCCCCAGCCCCTCCCGTCTTAAAATAACTCTAGCTGATGTTCTTTTGCTCTTCACTTTCACAGCCAGACTTAAATATGGCTTCAATTTTCTGCTTCCCCATTCACCCCATCTTTGTTTCACTTCTATCATTCATAAAAGAACATGAATTTTCCAAGCAGTGCCAAATCTAATACTTAGTTTTCTGTTTTTTTTCTTGATCTCGTAGGCTCACTGGGGATTTACCATTTCCTTCCTTTGGAAACATGCACCTCTTGCTTCAGTGAGAGACTGTTAGGCCTTTGTCTTAACTTGGCGTCTCAATCACTTGCTTTGCCTGGTTTAAATCTCAAGATACTGCTATTCCTCAGAGTTAGGACTTCTCTTCCCGCTCTGTACTGTTCTTCTGGCTTCTATGTTGTGAATTCAGTAACTTTTTTTTTTTTTTTTTTTCTCCTGTAAACTCTCCAGGTCTACACAGTTCAGTAGCATTCTTTGCTTGATCAAATTTGGCTTCTGTTTAATTCCTTGTAAAAACCAGTTTTAGTTTATTAAGAACCCAGTCCCTTTGTTATTTGGTCACTTTCAATATCTGATCAGATCCCTTAATCTCTTCCATCTCAGATGTCTAGTCATGCTGGCTTGTCTTCATCAAGAACCCTGTTAAGTTGGGTTAACCAGAAACCTCTTTGGCTCCTGATATGTCCCCAAAACTATAATATTAAGCAAAAAAGGAAGTTGGCTGATAAGTACTTGGAGTGTAATGTTTTCATTAAGAGATGAAAAACAAGAGGAACCCACAAGGAGGTACTGAGGAACCAGCGTTCTGCACTAAGCCTCTGTAGTACTCAGAGAACAGACAGGACAGTGGCTTTTTGCAAGACAGCTAAGTCCCTTCAGCGAGAACACGGGGAGCGGAGTCAGCCTGTTTTGCAAATCATCCGGACCTATTGAAGAAAAAGAAAGATTACAAATTTAGCGCCGATAACTATCATAAAAAACAAGAGTTCCTCAAATTCTTTGAAAGAAGGCTCTTGAAAAAACATCCAGGGCCAGCCAAATAGCTCAGCAGATTAAAGTGCCTGCAAAACTGGGTGTGGTGGCAAGCGCCTATAATCCCAACACTTGGGAGGTTGTAAACAGGAGAATCAGAGTCCAATCTAGTAATGAGATGCTGAACACCCTGTAGACCCTTCCCTAAAATACAGAAGAAAAAAAAAGAGTCCAGATGGATTCTACTGTAAAATGACTTGGGTTATGCTCCAGGATGGAGTTCATGTTATTAAGGACAGTAACGAACAAGTAGCTCAAGAACAGCTAAACCTAATAACTCAGGGTGTCATATAGAAATGAAAAGGGTTGCGGAAGCTAAAAAATTGAAACACTAAAATCAGAGCTCCATCTGCTGGCTTTCCAGGGAAAGCAACAGAATAAGCATGTGTTCTTTTTGAACAACAAAAAAGAAGTTAAACAGTTTGATATTGCCACTCACCTGCAGACAGCCCCAGAACTAGTTGGCAGAGTCTTTAACAGACTCAAGATAGAGACCTTGCAGATGGAAAAGGTGGAAGGAGTTACCCATCAGACTCGACTTAAGTGGATAGCTAAAGAAAGATAAAAGCAATATAACTGCCTGTCGCAGCGTATTGAACAAAATTTAAACACTCAAATATCTTATGGATAAAATTCAGAAGGTGAAGATGAAGAAAGGAACAGTGAATGCCCCAGCCAGTTGCAAGTTTCAGAGTTGTCTGGAATGCTGAAGTGTTACAGATAAGCCTTATTTGTGTCAAAAATAATTCAAGTTTTAGTAATAACTTCAAATTTCATTAGTTCAGAAGACATCAGGTGCATTTAGGGTGGTACAGCCATAGATCCTTTAGTTCAAACGCGTTGCTTTCCTGTTTATAAACATGAGTTATTATTGGTGTAATATTTGATGGCTTTCTATGAGCAATATTAAAGCGCCTCATCTCATCTTATTGTTTTTGGTTTGTCAAATCAGTCTTATTATTTTTTTTTTTTTAAGATTTTTTTTTTTTTTTTTTTTTTTTGCGGAACCAGGGATTGAACTCAGATCCTTGCGTTTGCCAGTCAAGCGCTTATCCCACTGAGCCATCTCCCCGGCCCCAGTCTTATTTTTTTATACAGTATTTACATCTTTTTTCGCTGTGGAAGTTATATATCATTACAACAAAGAAAATAGATGGATTTATTTCTAATTTTATTTTATTTGATTTCTTAAATTTTATGTATTTAGTACAGGGTCTACAGGGTCTCACTATATAGAGCAGACTTGTAGTGATCCTCCTGTTTTCAGCCTCCCAAGCAGTGGGATTACAGGCATGTGCCACCATGCCCAGTCTCGATTGCTGTCTCAGCGTGCCCTGAGGGTGGGGCCGACTTGGTGGGGATCGAACCCTGGCTGCTGCACTCTGCCTAAGCAGATGCTTTATTCCACTGAGCTATCTGGCCAGCCCTTCATTTCTAATTTTATTTTATTTTTATTTATTTATTTGGCGGAACCTGGGATTGAACTCAGGCCCTTGCGCTTACCAGGGAAGCTCTTATTCCACTGAACTAACTCTCCGACCCCCATTTCTAATTTTAATACTTATTCAAGAACAGCAAATGATTATTGAGTACTGGAAGCTAAAACTACTGAGGTGAACAATTGTGAGCATTCTGTTTTACTTTCATTTTATACAGTTGTACATTCGTTTTTATATTTTTGTGTTTTATAGCTGTAATTTAAATACACAATATTACATAAAAAACAAGCAAAATAATACTATTTTGTTGTAGGGATAAAGAGAGTTGCAGTAAGAGTAAAAATAAATGCATAGAAATGTTAATGAGAAAACAATAATATTTACCTGTAAAGGTAGAGTGGTAATACTACCAGGGAGGAGTTCCTTAGGGACTTGAAATTCCTATTTTTTAGGACAGGTGATGGGTATGGATGTTCATTTTATTTTTCTTTATTCTAGCATGTCTATATTAGTATTTAGTATGTCTGAGATACTTCATAGTGAATAAAAATGAGTAGTAAATTAGAATTTATAGCCATATTCATATGTATAGAAATAGAACTTTGAGCCAAGCATGGTGGTGCATACCTGTAATTCTAGCACTCAGGAGGCCAAGGTGGGATTCCCTTGAGTTTGAGGCCAGCGTGGGCTCTGTAGTGAGTTCAAGGTCAGCCTGAACTGCATAACAAGACCCTGAAATCTAACTTTATTCTCTATACTTAAGCAAAACTTGCTCATAAACATCTCCGCTGCTGCTGCCGCCGCCTCTTCCTCTTCCTTTTATTCCTCTTCCTCTTCTTCATCTTCATCTTCCTCTTTTTCTTCCTCATCTTCTCTTTCTCCTCCTCCTCCTTCTCTTCCTCCTCTCTTCCTCTTTCTCCTCCTCTTCCTCCTTCTTCAGCAAGTACTTATGCCATTGAGCTATATCCCTGGCCCAAATATCTCTTCTTGATAGTGGAATACACTTAAACTCACCCAGCAAAGGTAACCATTGCTTGTAGTTTAAACCATCTCATATTCTCAGTTTTCTCTGAGTAAATTCTTAGCTTTGTTCCTCTTCTTTCCTTCTGACAGCTAGATACCTGGGTATGGTATTTTCTTCAGTCAGTTATTGTCATTTAGTCATCAGTGCCTGTTCAGAGGCTGTCATCTCTTTTGGCTATGGGATAGTGCCTGCTGATCATCCCAGGCACAGATGGTTAAGCCAGGTCTATGGGCACAGGGGTTTGATTTCTGCTTTTGGTACTGAAATTTCTTATCTTGTTGTCCTCTGGGGGAAAAGAATGCTTGTCTTGCTTTGGGGCCAACAGCACAGAATGTAAAGATCTTGATGAGTCTCCCCTTAGCTTCATCCCTTGTTTGGGTTGTTCTTCATTGCCATTATTGCCATGGAATTTGCTGTGGTCTGGCACTTGGTTATATGTTGCTGTTAACAAATTATCTAAAAACGTAGTGGTTTGAAACAACAGTAATATTTATTTTCTCACACAGTTTCAGTGGGTTTGAAATATGAAAATAACTTAGTTGGGTTGTTATGGTTTAGAGTTTCTCAAGAGGTCATGGTCAAGCTAAGGCTCTGTTATGGTCATGCCAACTAGGGCTGCAGTCATCTGAAAACTAGACTGGGACCAGCCAGAGGATCCTTTTCAGAAAGGTTCATTTAGATAACATTGGCAGAAAACCTTCTCTGCTGGTTGTTTCTTGCTATGTGGACTTCTGAACGTGATTGCTCCAGTATTCTTAGGACATGGTAGCTGAGAGTGACCCAAGACAGTGGGAATGAAGGGAAGCCTCAAAGCCACGAACAATTGATCTAGTCTGCACAGCTACATAGAGTACTTTTACTGCAGTCCATTTATTAGAAAAGAGTCAGTAAGTCTGAGGGTAGGGGAATTTAACTCCAACTTTCAAAGGCAGGAATGTGAAATAATTTGTGGGCTTTTAAGAAACCACCACAAAATCTGTATGGGAATTTAAACTTCTCTGAGAGGCTTGCAGTCTCTCAGCTATGCCTTGAAATTTCTCTCTCTCTCTCTCTCTCTCTCTCTCTCTCTCTCTCTCTCTCTCTCTCTCTCTCTCTCTCTCTTTTTCTGGAACTGGGGCTTGAACTCAGGCCCTTGTGCTTGCCAGGCAAGCACTTATTCTACTGAACCATCTCCCCAGCCCATATGCCTTGAAATTGTGGCACAATCCTTTTTCTTTTTCTGATGTCCCCTTATCCCTCTTTTTTTTTTTAAGCATCTCTGCTTACCTTCCTAGCCAAGCTCCTCAGAGAGCTCAGGCAGCATTTGTAGTCTAGTTTTGTCCTCTCTCAATTCTCTTTAATATCAACCTGTTCAATGGCAACTGCTGTAAAATACTGGTATTATTTCCCGTTTTCTGATTTATGGAATCAACTTTATTGCTCAAGTTTTTTTCCTCAGTGTTTTTTCAACAAAACCTTGCTTTTGCCTGTGAATCCCCTACTTTCTAGACCATTATCTAGATATGGAAAGAATGAAATTGATTTTGTGGGTAAAAGCTGAGATTTATTATTTATTCCCTTACACTGCAGAGAGAACAGGAAGTACTGAGAAGGGAAGATGTAGCAAGTAGTACAGCAAAACTTACACACTTCATTCGTAATGGTATGAAGGTGCTCTACAATGTCATGAGGAATCCACATTTGTCTTATTCTCAGCTTTTTCTTGTAAGGTGGATTCATTTTCAGAAGGATATTTCCCCTTTAGAGGAAGGGTGATTCTTTGCTTATATTTCTAGCACAATGACTATGTTCCTTAATCCCAGCAAAAATCTCAGAATTGACTCTTGGACTGGTTTGGGTCTCAAACCATCTGTGAACCAACCATTGTGACAAAGCGAGTGAGAGTTCTGAATTCCCAGGCCCAGGTCATGTGTCTAGGCCAGAGGACCTCTACTTACTATTCTCCATTGTGGAAACCTACATGGAGCTCCAAGGGATCAAGAGACTCATCATCAATTTAAGTGCACATCCTAGTTATTGATAGCCTTTCCTTTTTCTCCTGGCTCTGTCTTCCTTTCAGTGAACTGTGGTGGTGCAGACTAAGTGGGGAGGGTTCCACTAAATCAGAGATCTTGTAGACCATTCATTGGGGTGGAGCTCCATGGATATCATTATGGAGATGAGATGGGAACCCTTTCAAGAGCTTTATGCTCAGTACATTCAGGGACAAGGCTATGATCACAGAAACCACTGCCACCTCTTCAAGGAGGCTGATGGGGACAGGCACTGACTGTATGTGTCAGGTTCCTCTCCAAACTCCTCAAAGTCTTTCATTTTCTGGATTCTGGGGATAGGTGAGTCAATTTCTCTCTTCCTCCTTAGTCTCTCTAAATGCAGAAGTGTTTTGGTTAAACTATTCGCAGCTTTCACAGTCTGTCTGACATGTTGGCAGTGTAAACTTTCAAGTTGGAACCAGAGAGCAAGATAAGAGACATTCCCATCTGCATATCTCCCTGTAGGAGCCAGTATAGCTTTTTTGCTCTGTGGGGAGGTGAAGACTCCTTAGTCTGCAGCAAGCACAGGACTTTATAATCACTGACCTGATACTGTTTCTGCCACAGCTGCTTCCTGAAACAGTTGAGGAACTAAGCATTGTCCTTAGGGCTGGGGGAGATCAGACATCTCTTTGGAACAGGTGGAAGTTAGGACCCAGGGAGGCTTGTAGGCTGCACCTTTCAGCTTGGCCAGGGCACAGCAGGATGCAGGCTTGCTGCGGACCCTCACCAGTGCCTCATTTGTTTGAATGCCTTCTTGTTGTTATTGTTGTTCTCCTCCTCCTTTTTTTTTTTTTTTTTTGTCTTTTTGAGTCAGGCTCTTGCTAGGCAGTTCAGATGGGTCTTGAGCTCACTTTATAGCCTAGGCTGGTCTCAAACTCATAATGATCCTCCTGCCTCAACCTCCTGAGTGTTGGGACTACATGTGTGCACCACACCCAGCCCCCTGCTTCATTTTTGTTTGGACAGGTTTCTGTGACTTCTCTCAGACTACGATGTTTCTTTGATGGATGCTATTTACATTATTATCATTTCATATTGTTTCTGATGAGAATATGGTAGAATCAATCAGCCCAATCCTAACCCTGGAGAAAAATGAGAATAAAGGATCCTGGAATACCTCAATACTTTGCTTCTCCTCTTTTATATTATATTATTTTATTTTTCTTAGCATATGTTTGCAGTATATAACAATTACATTAATTGTGGGAAGTTAGTATATGTATATAACACATCTTAATATTTTTCATCCCCTTCTCCTCTCCCTCCCCCTCTTTCTGCATCTCTTGGTCAATCCTCTTCTCCCATTTCTATTTTTTTGATCCATTCCCTTTTACAAATTTCTCTCTATTCTCTATGATCTTTCTTTTCTTTTTCTCTTTAATTTGTACTTTGGACTTCTTAGGTAAGAGAAAACATGCAATACTTAAACTGTGTGTCTAATTTATTTCACTTCATATTATGGTCTCGAGGTGCCTTCATTTTCCTACAAATGACATAAGTATATCCTTCTTTACAGCAAAGTAATATTCCACTATGTATAAGTACCACATTTTCTTTATCCACTTGTCTTACTAATTTTTTGTGGCTGAGACAAAATACTCAACACCCAGAGTTAAAGGGGGACAGTTTGTAGAGATTTCAGTCCATAATCAGCTGGCTCCAAGTCATAGCATCTGGCAGAGGGGCAACTGTTCATGACAGAGGAAGACAGCAAAGGCAACAAGAGGAGAGAAAGACAGGACTCCCTCCCTTATATTGTACACAGGCTACCCACCCAAGGGTAGGTTAACACAACCATAATCCCAGCATTGGACCATGAGTCAATTACAAGCTCTAGATTCAGCTGCCTCCCCGAAGTCCATCCCCCATGACTGCATGAGGCTATGGGGGGACATCCAGGCACATACCATAGCACAGTTCATCTGTTGATGGACACATAGGCCACTCCCAGGCTTTAGCTATGATGAGTAGCGCTGCTATAAGCATAGGATGCATGTGTCACTGTAATATGATGTGTTTAATTCTCTTGCCAGCCCCAAGATTTGTTCTTATTTGATTTCTTGATGATAGTCCTTCTTTCTAGAGTAGAGTCTGGGTGTCATTTTAATTTTCGTTTATCTAATGGCTGGGGATGTTGAAAATTTTTTTCATGTATTTATTGGCCATTTGTACTTTTTCTGAGAAGTGTCTATTCATTTTAATTTCCCTTTTTTGACTTGGTCTTTTATTGTTTTGGTGCGTGATTTAAGTTTTTGAGTTCATTATGTGTTCTAGATATTAATTACTCTTCTGTCTGAGCAATAGCAGGCAAAAATTATTTCTTACTCCGTAGGTTGTCTCTTCATTCTATTGGCTGTTTCCTGTGCTGCACACAAGCCTTTTAATTTGATATGACCTTATTTGTTCTTAATGCTAGTTCTTGTACTATTGGAGTTTGTTCAGAAAATTCTTGCCTATGCCCGTGTCTTCAAGAGTTTTTACCTATTGTACCTTCCAGCAGATTGTTTCTGTTTTAGTGTTTAGGCCTCCAATCCACTTTGATTTTCGCTTGGTACATGGGATGAAACGTGGGTGTAGAATGTCTTCCAATTTTCTGAATACTATTTGTTAAACAGAGAATATTTCCTCTAGTGTTTTTGGCTCCTTGTCAAAAGTCCAATGGCTGAATGTACGTGGTATTGTTTGTGCATCCTCTGTTGTGTTCTATTGATCCACATGTCTGTTTTTCTGCCAGTACCATGCTGTTTTTATCTTTTGTTTTGTTTTATTTTATTTTATTTTATTTTATTTTGAAGAATAAAAACAAAAGCAAAAACAAATAGTAGAAGCAAAGACAAACAAGGTAACATACAACAATGTATGTTACAGATTTTCAAAACAAGAATAGCTAATTAACAATAGTTATATTATCTATTTTATCATCAAATCTGTTGCTCAGATGAACAGATCTAGTTATTCAAGATTGGACAAATAATTGAATATTAATGCTTGCTTTCAATAAATCTTAATTTTTTTCTTGTCCTTCTAACTTTTTAAAAAATATTTTAAGGAGAATATAATAATAGTTGATAAGACATTAGAAATGGTACACAGAAGACCAAGATGAGAGGTATCCAAACATGGTTTTTGTATTACACATTGTTGTCCTTGATATAGTTGCTTAGATTGCAGATATCAGCAAATAGAGTTAGTCAAGGTGAAAATTCTAAACATTAACTGCTATTTTTAAAAAACTGATGGAAATTAATCATTGTAGTTTTGCAAAATAACTTCAAATCGAGTATCATGATGCTTCCTGCTTTGCTCTTGTTGCCCAGGATTTCTTTTGGTGTCCTAGGTCTCTACTTGTTCCATATGATTGTTTTCTCTAGTTTTGTAAGGAAAGCATTTGGAAGTCTGCTTTGACTCCAGGGTCTCAGGCACTAAACCTGCACCTCTGACCCTTGTCCTCTGTGGAGATACCAGCGCCTCTCCAGGTGCTGTATGCACCCCTACCCAGAGCTTCCACATACACTCTTGTCAATCAGCCCTGTTCAGGCATCTGTCCTCTGTGGAGCTTGACTAAGGAGCTGATAGTTTCTTAACTTCCAGCATCTTCCTCTATCGTTTTGCACTTGGCTGAAGCCTGCTGTGGAGACTGAACTGCTTTTAGTTTCTAGGGCAGTGAATGGGAAAGGGGAAAGATTGCCCTTCTGTGTGCTATATCATTAGTGCTGGTGGGGGGGAGGGAGGGAGGAAGGGAGGGAGGGAGGGAGAGAGAGAGAGAGAGAGAGAGAGAGAGAGAGAGAGAGAGAGAGATCTTTGGCCAGGCTGGACCGGAAGGAAACTGTTCAGCATGAGCAGCTTTTCCACCTTGAGAGGCCTCACTAGTCTCATACATTCTGTTTCCCACCCACTCAAAGGAAGTGCCACAGGCCACAGACTCTTGCTAGATTCTTTAGTCTTGGACTGCAAAATGGCCACCAAAAGGATTTTCCTGGGTTTGATATTTCTCACTCTTGCTCAACCCTCTGAAATTATTTGTAGAGAAAGCTGTCTCCATTTGTCACAAGGTCCCCACTCCTGGACTTCTCCATCTTGCTTGGGTTTGTGGTAGAAGAGCCAAGGCAAGTAGAGGATTATTGAGCCCTGGGGAAGAAACCCAAGGAGGCCTAAAAAGGGTGTTTATAAGGCATCTCAACCTGGATGTCCCTGTGCAGGGAGAATGCTGCTTCTGTGTCCTCTGTGCATCAGAGATAAGGAGGCCTGGGTCTGCTTGTCCCTCCACTCCAGTATGGGGTCGTATTGTCATGAGGTCATATTAAAGGAGACACTTATGGTAGGAAATGTGGAGACTGGGTACCTTGGAAATCCGATAGCATAGGCATAGATGTGTGCACATGTGTGTGCATGTGTGTGCCTGAGAGTTAGTTGGCTCTTCCTCTGCCTTCTTTCACTGTCTTCTCATTTCACATTTTCTCATATCATTCAGCAGTTGAACAAGCTGAGGGGTTTCCTAGGAAAGAAGATGAAGTTGATCTATCTTCTCCTCTATGGGTCAGCCTTGGCCCATTCCATCTATAAGAGGTCTAATCAGAACCAGCATGACTTTTTTGCTGAATCTAGAAATAAAG